TACTTCAACAGATTCATTAGGTTAGATTAAAATAAATAATTTAACTCTGAACTGCGTAGAAACTATATGCGTAATTCCGCAGTTACCTATTCCTCATTCGTGCTTAAATTAATATTTTTTTATGAAAGGCTAATTAGGAATATAAAAATATCTTGAAAATTTTGAATTACAAATAATAATAAAAACAGAATGTATACATAATATAATTAAAATTCTGCAAGGTAATTAATTAATTTTTATTTTCTGTATTGTAAAATATTTATTAATTTATTTTATTAACATAACTAGTGGCGGCCTAGAATATTCCTTTTAATATTTCCTTTTTATTATGTTTATACGATTATAGTGTTTAATTATTAGACAATTTATAAGATATGATGTATAATATCACATGGCAATGTATATAATACTAATTAGTAATTGCTATCAATAAGAAATTTGTCTGTAATTTTGTCATATAAATTATTGATTTCGTCAATGAATGGACTTAATACGGTGAGGTGAGGAAGATAGTCTGCCTATCTACTAGATAGCATACCTTTCCCTTGGTCTCTTTATAATATTTGTGGTATTCTTGATTTTGGAAATTTTGTCTTTATAACACAGTTTTGAGGTTACAAATCGTTCAATTAAATTAGTCATTTCATGCCATCCAAATGTATTGACTAACTGACTATAGCTGGACTCCTAGTGGTTTAATGTTTATTAATAATAAAATTTATTTAATAATTTATTATTTAATACAGAGCAAAATAAGAGACCTAATGGACCTGAAGGTTTTTCATAACTTAGAATAACATTATTAATGGGTTTAATATAACTGCTCTATAAGTTTGTCGTAACTTTCGCAAACTAATAACTTTCCTTTGATTTATTTTCATAATGTTTTCAAGTATATAATACCTATTCAACACTGTCAAAACTTCGTTCCAGTAACCCAGAGATTACTTGAAAGAATAAGTTATTTTATTTCGTTGTTTTTTTTTTACTGAGTCATGTATAACTTAATAGGTTCGCCCTTTTATTTGTATCAATCTTTTTATACATCGTACGCGTAAATTTTAGAAATAAAAAAAAACAAATGAAATATATTACTATTAGATAGCATATCAAGATAACACAATATATGAGATTTTAAGTTGTCAAATCAAAAACAATTGTGAAAACCGCATTCAGTTGGGTGTAGTAGTCTTTTACGAAAAATTGTTTTATAAGGGCAAACAGAAAAAAAAATCTAAAAAATATTGTTTTAGCATCCACTGGTCTTTTTAGACCGTCTATATTAATTTTCCTAAGACATTTCTCATGTACTGACGTCGTCTATTTACAATTTTATTATATAACATGATAATTTACCAAGTGAACCATTCATTTTTCGTAAAGATAAGTTAAAAATATAACCCTATTTAGTAAATATGTTGTAAGAGTTCTGATGCTTTAGAGCAGTAATAAAAATAAGAATTGGAATTCAAATCCAATCACTTTAGAATTGATGGCTATCTGTTTATTATGTCAATGCAGAAAAAAATACAAGGCAGATTTCGATATTGTTATAATCATTAGTATCGGTTTAGTAGCAAAAAATATCTCATTCTCATAATTTTTGTACAGTTATATGAAGAAAGTAGTTGCCACATTTGGCAGTTACTAGTAAAATCCTCCTTATGGGTAGGCCTATGTTCAGTAGGACAATTAACGACTGAATGATAATGATGAGTTAATAAATATATTTAGAAATATTAGGGTCTTCATCGTGCCTCCAATCAAACTGTTTATAATTACTTCTCTCCATCCAAAGGTTGCCTGGAAGAGATCGCTTTTAGCGATAAGGTCGCCCATTGTTTTCTTATTGTGATTATTTCTTGTAATTGTTTATATCTAGAATAAGTTTACTATTGTAATCTTTTGGAGGAAACAATAAATAGTATCTATCTATCTATATAAAGGAATATTAAAATGTTTTGTAGGCAGATTTTCTAGATGGATCGATGATTTCTGTATCACAGTGGAAAGAAAACATATGCAAACAGCAGAGAATTGCTTGGTTGGTAAGCATTGTGGGAGACATATATTCAACAGTGTATAGGAATACACTAATATGATTGATTAATTAACCTATCGTATATAAGTAACAATGGCTGAAATGATGATTATATAAGTAATTAGAATATAATATTTCGGGCAAAGTCACGGGCATACCTAGTTCATAATGTAACAATACTTGCACGGAATTTGAACTTAGCATTAATATCTATAGTGTCAGGGTTGGGTCATTGTCTTAATAATTACTGTTCTAATTACATGGAACAATAACATTAAGGATACTTACGCGGCAAAAAATTAACATACTATAATGTACCATGCAGGCATAGATGACGCAAACGTATCACAAGTAAATTACTGTCGTGATTTAAAAAAGTTGTTTTTTTTTTAATGGGTGAAAATGGAATGGTAATCCCGCTTACGCTATCGGTATATGCTGGCAGAGCACCAGTGAGGGATGATAGGAGGATGAGGCAAGTATTTTGGCCTACCGTGACGAATTTAACAATAAATCAATCACGATGGTTTTTCGGGGGAACCGCGTGGAGGTCGACCTGAGAGGGTGTATTGTTAGTATTGTTAACTGTTCCACAGTTAGATCCCATTATTAACGATCCCTTTCCCCCATCTAGGTAGGTTGGACTTTAAACATTTCTCAACATAATTTTTTTTTGAGTATTAAGAATCGACATTTAGTTAGAATCAGAATGTTATTTGCGTATTATTTATGGAAACATTTGCAATTATTGTTTCTTATGATATTGCTAGGATATAGTAATAGGCGTTTATAAAAGAAATTAATTCTTTAATAATTAGTACGTGAAAAAAAATTAGCCAAATTGAGAAACGTACGGACGTTGACGTTGACAAAACGAAAAAGAAGTGGAAGTATCTAATCAGGAGTTACGGTGCTGAAATTTAAAAAGTAAGGGAAAGTAAAAAAGTAAAAAATGAAAATAAAATAAATATTTATCTTTTTTATATTATTTATATTTAAATAACATTTATTTTTTTATTGCCAACTAAATTATTAAAATTTTATACCTTGCTGAATGTATTTCATGTTTATAGGCGACGTCGCGCCGCGACAGTTGCCACTTTTCATTAGGTGGACCGTCAACTTGTTCGCAGTCCTAAGTTGCTTATTTTATTTATTTAGCTCACACAACAGAAGTTTACAAATATAAACTTAAAACAGAACCTGCAAATAGTCAATGTATTGTTCAGGTAAATTTGCTACAGCATGTGCACACAGCATGATTAAATAATAATTATAACTGCGATAAATCCGTTCGGTTGTAACAAAGGAAAAAAAAAACATTTTACGTTTAAAATCACATATGAGAGAAGATTATTTTTATTTAAGCAGAGAATAGATATTATGTTGACATGTTTGACAATGGATGTGATTGTAAAACAAGTAATCGACATAATTAGGATGCAAATTAATACAATATTTTAAGCAAATAAATTGATTTGTTTTTGTTAGGCGACATGGAATAATGACAGCTAACTGTAACACTATTTTAAGGGTATTTGCGGACCATCAGATTGCCAGTATTTGAATTATTGTAGTATGATACACATGCTGGCTAATATACAAAAAAAGTAGGTTAGGTCGTTGTTGTTTGCATTGATTTCTTTATTTTTTTTTTGTATTTTTCTATTTATAATTGTAATAAATAGTGTTATGTAATTGTAATAATTTAACATAATAATTTAAATTTAATATAAATTAATATTGTACAAAAATTTTGTGGGCCCTGGTTACCTTATTAAAGAATTTATTTATTATTATTCATTATAATGAAAAGTATTAATATAAATTAACAATACATGCATGTCATAGAATACACAGTAATATCCACGGTACTCCTCACACGTTGGAACTGTTGAGTAATTCATTTTCACTGTCATATAAATATTTAACAAGACTGAAAGCCTTATTCGTAGCTATTTGTATTGAATGCGTTTCCAATTACAATATCGTAGCAGGCAATGTCATGTGAGGACAAAATATCCAATCTTTTTTTAGCATCGTTAAGCCTTATGTAGGCGCTATCTAATACCGTATTTTAAAGTAAAGGACGGCTTGTAATCTCGCATTACGGCGAAATATACAAATTTATCATGAACAAGTTTATCATGAAGTTTTAAACATAAAATTGAATTACTACTATAATGTGTATGCTATCTCATAAGATTGCAATAGTCATGTGTTCAAATCTATCAATATATACATTTTTATATCAATTTATTATATAGTTTTTTATTTGTTCGGTGATAATAAAATAAAAAAAAATTAAGAATAAATCGAATATTGTATTTATAATATATATATATATATATATATATATATACTGTGGTGGCGCGATATTGGATTCAATGTATCGTGGTTCTCCACAATATATTGAATTCAAATATTCAAGTCGTGCTATTTTACCATAGTGGCAATAGTAGATTAATGCTTTTTATGACAACCCACATGTTGTAGTAAGCTTCTTTTTATGAAACATTTCTTGTTTGAAAATCCTACAGTTTCAGTTCAGGGAGTTTCAGTTAGATAATAATGTTAATACGTCTTTTATTATTTCATCGTTATCTACAAACACGTATGTTAGCACCCTCTGATGGCAAGAGTTTTCTAGAGCCAATCACCGTCGTTATACATAATGCTTCGGAATTGAATTGCTATATACTTTGAAGCATGAAACAATCAACTATCATTGACATAATGATTTAAACATAAATTTTAAACAAGATTTAGACTTGGATTCATATTCGTATACTTAAATTGCAATCAAGAGTTAATTCCACTGAACTACTTACCAATATTTTTTTACCACCTTGTATAAGAAAGTTACCATACAGATATATATATACATATACATTTTCCATATGCATGAATATAGAATATTAAAGTTCATTTTGGTACATACATGAAATAAAACATAATATTTTTTTCTTATATCATAATTAACAATTTATTTTAAAATAGTTGTATAAAAAACGTTGAGCAAGTCACTAGGCAATGATATCACCAAATTTGTTTATAAGAAGTATTTAGCGGCTGCGACTACTGGAGCCGCTGGGGCCACTAGGGGAGCGGCTGGGGCAACTAAACGGGCAGCTGGGGCTATTAAGGGAGCAGCGGGGGCAACGAGACGGGCAGCTGGGGCGACGTACGGAGCAGCAGCTACGTATGGGGCTGGAGCAACGACAGGTGTAGCGATAGCGTGGTTGACGGCATGTGCGGAGTAGGAGCTAGCATATGGGGCGACGTATGCAGCAGGAGCAACCGCTGGGGCTACAAGTGCTGCAGGTGCCACGACGCTAGCTTTGGTGGAAGCAACGGCGAGAGCGAAGATGACCTGTAAATAAATATATAAATTAAATAATGTAATAATGGATAATTTTTTTATTCATTTTTTAAATAATACAATAGATTTATGCTACATATTTTTCTTTCTTACAAAATGTCACTATGATAAGTTGACTGAACTGGAAGAGATTTCTTTTAAAGATAAGTTCGTGTGTTATTATTTCTAATTATAATTATTACTATATTTTTAATTATAATAAAGAATATATAACGTTATATTTTTATCTGAGAAGAGAGCTGTTACTGTTTTTTTTTTTTTTAATTTACTTACTACAAATTTGGCGATCATTTTGCTTGGGTTGTGTGACTGCTCACAGTTGGATGGATGTGCAAAGGAATCCGATGGACTGTGTCGTCTCCAGGGTATCGCAACATTTTTATACTAACGGCAAATTCGTTGAGCAATAACACGGGTGGCGCATGCGCGTTACTGTATAATGCGCAGGACATGGCTCCACGATTTTTGACCCAGACTCGATCGACGGACCGTGCATTCTAATTTCGACTTTGTGCATTGAAATTTCACTGTCAGTTATATAACTTCCGAAAAGAAAATAAATCAGACGTTTTATTTTTGAGGTAAATCAAGCTTATAAAATTTTAATTAAAAAAATCTATATTATTAATATTATTTATTTAGTTGGATAAAGATAAATTTATTTGCATAAACATTTTGTAATATAAAATATCCAATGTTTTTTAGCATCGTTAAGCCTAAATTCTAACACTTTTATAGAATGACATTAATTATTATTACAATGATTTTAAATAATCTGGTATAATATAGAATAAAACCGGCCACGTGGGAGTTGAACTAGGGTTCCGCACATAAATACATAAAATGGGTTTTATTACATTTCTTATACGAAATTGACACCTAATAGTTTTTATTAGTTAACTGGGAGAGAATACTATGTAGCAACAAGTCCACTTTTTGCACTAAAAATTTTTTTATAACGTAGTTAATAAAGAATAAATAAGTAAATATCTAGTTATTATTATTGATATAAGTACTACAATTTGTAATTCCTTAATTTAAGCCATAATATTGGTTAAAAACTGGACTACATATAGTAATGTATTTATTTTTGGACGTTTTTTGATAATATCTCAAAAACGTTGGAGATAAAACAGGAAATTCCTTTTTTTTCACATTTTAGATTATCTCTAAAAAGCTATGTAGCGTAAAAATAAATAAAAATCAGTTTTAGAATGTAAAAATAAAGCCTTTTTATATAATATCCGTTTCGGACCCCCTACAGCATAGAAGAATTTTTTCCATGGATTGCCATGGATATAATTAAAAAATAAAGTTTTGTTCGTATAACTTACATATGTAAAACTCTTCCAAATTTAAAAGTGATAGCATTAGTAGTTACTAAAATAACGTTAATGTTGTGACAGAACGACGGATAGACAAAGTCGCACCATATATATCTTTTTGGTACGGAACCTTAAAAATTGCTAATTCAATCGTGACTAAACTAATATAAGATATTGATTGTAAATGTCAAAAATCTGTTCATAATATGTAAAAAATATCATATACTTAACACGGATACAAAGATTACTATCAAAATGAACACACTTTGCCATATACTTATACACATACACTTTCTACAATACTTACTTTTCATATGAAATATGATGGTAACATTTAATTAAAATTACATTATCTGAGCTTATTTATTTTTATGTATTTGTTTTTTGTTTCATTATTTTATTATAATAAAACAAAAACTCAATACCAACTCAATACGAATTTAGCACTTGTTATACTTAACGCATATCGCATACTAATGCATACTATTTATCCATTCTAATTTACGCGAGCAACGCTACAGAATACTGTTAGTATCGAATAATTTAAAGCCATAAACTTTTATTGTAGTTTCTGGTGGACAAGTTGGTCAGGGACTGCTGGTGAAATCTGGTTGCACATGTTGTTGTTATTGTTAGAACGAATTGGACTCCAAATACTTTTTATATATTCTACTAGTTTTCAGTTCTAAAAACTCAGTAAAAATTCAGAGTCAAATACTCTGAATTTTTAATGATACCCAGTTTCTACCAGCGACTTAATCCGTGTGACCGGGATATGTTGATTGACCGGACTAAAAAGTAGCCTACTGATGTTAATCGTCAATGGCTCTTAATGTGGACAAAATTTCATATGGAAAACATCCCAATTCTGTACAGGAATACCTGTAGTTTTTACTTCTGCTGAAGCTTCACTGTGAAGCAGTTGTATTTGTATGGCAATGTTTCGGTTTTGAAGGGAAGGATATGGTAGTGAATTTACAGGGTACACAGAAGCATAATATCTTGGTCTTTAGGAATGGCAACGCATTGGGGGTAACAAGGGCGAAACAGTATACTTTGTTATGACCATAGTACTGTTCATGTTTATAGGCGACGGTTACCACTTTTCTTGGGCCATTAGCTTGTTTGCCATTCTAAGTTGCATAAAAAAATCAAATTTTATTCAAAGCGGTGCATTAGTTTTTTAGTGATAGAGTAACAAATATCCGTCCCTACATTCAGGAACTAACTTTTGAATTTATAATAATAGGCTACAATAAAAAAAAATAGTTGAGTTTAAGATAAATTCTCAACATATTGAAGTAAATCATTTAGATATAAAAAAGTTCTTCTATGTAACATAAAAAGAAAGACATGTAAGTTATAAAACCTCCTGAGTTTATAAAATTATAAACTCAGGAGGTGTTTAAATATCGCTATATCCTTTTCTGTCCTTAACAGTACATACTTCTATACGAATATACATCTTCCGATTGGTCGAGTCGATAATGTACCAAAAACAATCAAAGAAATTTACTTTCACATTTATAATATGTAAATATTACGGATTTATACTTCGTTAGTCACGGTCACACCAGTGTAAATTAGGTTAAGAAGTATCTCTATCTGTTTTTACCAAAGATATGATCCATCTCGAACTAGGCACTGAGTTTTCAGTATGAGATGGGCTATATTTATATATTTGTGTAGCATTTTACTGTACCGTTCATCACTATCTCTAGAAATTTTTATGGTAATATAAATTTCTGGAACTCAAAAGGGGTACCATGTGTATCAATGTATTTTATAATTCTTATGGTGCTGTTCATGATATACGCAACGATTATCACTTTCTGTTAGTTGGACCGTCGATTTGTTTTCCTATTCTATTTTGCATAAAGTAAACGGCTAGATAACTGTAGTTAACTTTTCAATAAGAATATTCAACGTAAAAGATGACGCAGTAATAATCTAAATTTGTTGTTAATTCACTAGTGATTATATATTACATCTATATGAGTACAAATCAATTATCGAAAATACTTTACGTTGGCTGCACTTATTTAACTAATTTTCTTTTTGTTGTGTTTGTTATTATCAGGACAAGGTTTGTGTGAAAGAAAAAATTCGAAAACTTATATGGGAAAATAAAAATATTGTTTAAAAAAAGCGGAAGATTTGGATTTCAATTTCTTCATTAGTACACCGTTGTAAAGCCGGGGCGAGTATTTAGTTTCATACAAATTAATTTAGAAGTGTGATTATATAACAAATATTTAACTTTAGAAAATTTGACATTTAAACTGGTAATAATAGCTGGATTACGTGCCGATCTCAAATAATGGGATAAAGTGATTCGAGATTGGTATTAATTATGACGATATAATACTCGTATGTTGTGATTAATGTTAGATTATGGATTTCAATATCTATACATATTGAGTTAGTACATTATAATTAAGTGCATTGCAGGGAGTCAGTGGGTGCAGGTTAGTCAGGGCCGTTCTTTATGGCAATCTGTCGGGGAGACCTATGTTTAACAGCTGATACGATTATTATAATTTTTTTTTTGATATTTTTTTATTTGATAATTTATTTTGTTAGGTATAATTATTTGAACTATCAATGTGATATAAAAAAAGTCTATTCAATGGGGGCTATTTATTGGTTGCAAAAAAATTTCACAATAAACACGTTTCTCAATCTGCTCCATTTCTCCAATGCGCTTGCGCCGCGAATCCCAAATGACTGCCGCAATACGTCAAATGTTTATTTTGCAGAACGTTTTCTGAATTACAATAATCAAGGATATAAAAGCCATTACTTTTTCTTCTTTAACCACACTTTACAGCTCCTTTTCGATAAGGAAGGTCCACTACATTAAGCAAAATGTTCTCTATCAAATCTGTAAGTTTTTATTTTATTTTATTGTGAATCCAAGTAGGATAGCAAATAGTTGTTACACAGTTGCAAATCTATGTAACGCAATATTTACATTTTAGTATAAGTGAAGGAGAATCTGATAGACCGAAAGACAGGTGTATCGTCTGCCTGGGAATCAGCATCCCACAATATTGTAATTATTTAATTATTGAAATGTGTACATAATAAGCAATTATTATTATTATACTAAGCGAAAGCCTTCAAAGACACGTGGTTTGTTTAATTTTTAGATCTTTGTTATTTACTCAATTATATTTACCAAATGTAATGCATTTGGTATACGGATTTAAATAATATTTGGTAAAAGTACCGCGTAATACAGTCAATGCTTTATAATAAACATATATTTTTTTATTGCAGATCGTGCTTATCGCTGCCGTATTCGCAGTCGGAGCTGAATGCAGCGCAGTGCCAGCGGTTCCAGCGGTGGCAGCGGCCCCATTATTGGCTCCAGCTCAAATCGGCTATGCCCACACTGTTCCTCAGAACGTGCCACCTTACGCAGCTCAAGTGAGCGTTGTCACGAAAGCACTCAATCCAGTGGTAGCTGCTGCACCTTTGGCGGCGCCTCTAGCGGCCCCTGTCGCTGCCCCGCTTGCAGCCCCTGTTGCTGCACCGCTGGCAGCACCTGTTGCTGCTCCCCTTGCCGCTGCACCTTACCTAGCGCCCGCTCCTTACGCCCTACCCCCAGCACCATACGCCGCTTACGCTGCCCCTGCAGCTTACGCGGCCGCTCCCTTAGTCCGTTCACCTTTAGCTTTGGCCCCAGCGTTTGTACGATAGACTGAAGAGAACATTAGGACTTCCTATCAAAAGACTTATGTAATGTAGACTTGTTTGTTATTATTTGTTTACTATTATACTTTATTATTTTTGGATTAAAGAAATGAATAAAAAATTTGCGTATTTTATTTAATTACGAACTATTTTGTATTTTGTCTAATTTACAAATCGAATAGGATGACTTTATTGGTTATTTGAACCCATTTTGATTGCTAATTACCACGATCAATATTTGATGATTTTCATTACCACGGTCCTATCACTACTGGTTATTATCATTTCCAAGTAATGAGTTGTATTTTGTAATCAGAGTTTCTGCAAAACTATACTTATTATTAATATCACTTTTATTATTACTCATTACAAAAATTTATTTAATGGAGAAAATTATATTAATTAATTAGAAAATAAAAATTTCATTTTAAGGACTGTATGTGGCTCCATATCCATATAAATAGAGTGATTTTTAAGAATAAGGATAATACATTTTTGTTAAATATAATATATCAAGGAATCAAATTAAATACTACTATAATAGTATTGAAAACAAATTCAAACAGTTTTCAAAAAAGGTTTCTTTAGATTCGGCAACGCACACGTGACAGAAACTTATAGAGGGAGAGGACTAGCAGACGAACCGTATGCTTGTTTACCACATTTGTGGTATAAAAATTGAGGTCTCAATAAAAAAATAGAAGACAGATTTTATTTATAAAATTGTAAAATTAATATAAAAGCCACCATGGTATTTGTATTTTGTTCTCATTATAATATCGAGTCTGTATGGACCTTCACATTTGCATGGTAATATTACTATGATCCATTCATTACAATTCTAGGTGTCTAATTGGTCTAATTGTTATCTGTGGCTATGCCCGCAAAAATTTAAAATGAAAATTGTTTTTATTGTAATATGATATTGTGATATAGTATTGTGATGTATAAGCAGTTATGATAAAAAATATCCTATACATCAGTCCAATAAATGATTCTCTTTGTACCAAATTTCATTCAAATTCGATCAGCCGTTAATTTGTGACTTATTAACAAACATTTAAACATAATATTAGTAGGATTATATCTGACTCGATGCCTGCTAGGCAGCTTAATTTCAAATGCCTTTAACGCTTGTTTATTCTTAGAACATTATATATATAATACTTGTCCTACTAAAATGTTCTGTACCTATATCCAATAGAGTGAATGGAACTATTGGTATTCCTGTTAAGTACAACGCAAAGTGGAAATTGCATAGAGTGAACTTGTTCTAGACTGCAATTGAATTCATATTAATAGAATTACCTATATTATATTCGTAATAATACTTGTATTTATTAATGTTGTTAATGAAAAGAAAACAATGAAGTATTTAAATTTTATTACAAAAGCGTATAAAACAGCTTATTGGCTACTTAAAAAATAACAAGTAATGTACCAACCTAACAACAGTTTAATTTAAAGACTAGAGTCACTTCCACCATAATTGTTTAACAATAGGCGCTGGCGCTACTGGTGCTGGTGCCAAAAATTTGCCGTATAGATGATTGGCATACGGTGATATAACAGGTACAGCTTTAGGTAAGGCGACTGGCGCAGGAGCAAAGGCAGGCGCAAACACTGGCGCTGGTAAGGCGGGTGCTACCGGCACCGGTGCTACAGGTCTCACTATAGGTGAGAATGGTACAGCTGGAAGGGCAGGGACAGCTCGAGCTATCGGTGCTGGGAACAGAGCCGGCGCTGGCGCTACTGGAGCAAATCGAGGTACAGCAGGGGCGAAGAATGGAGCTGGAGCTACAGGTGGGACGGGTAATGCCGGTGCTGGTGCAAACGCCGGTAAACTGGGAGCAATCGCTGGAGCTGGTAATACCGGTGCTGCTAATGGAGCAGGGACTACAGAGGCAGGTAGTGCAGGCGCAGGAAAAACAGGTGCCGGAGCAACTGCTGGAACAGCGGGCGCAATTGCGTGTATCGATCGCACTGGGCTAGGGAAATTATAGAATGGTGCATATCGAACTATGGGTATCGACTTTACAGCTGGTATCAGATGGCCTATTCCACTAGCTTTACAGCTAGCTATAACGGCGCCAAATATGATCTGAAAAGAAAATAATGTTTATGAATTTCTTTTTGTCGTAAGAAACTTTCATTGTTATTGGTAACTAGTAAATTTGATAAGCAGTAACTTACAAATCTTATTGAGAACATTTTGTCAGACACCACGACTTGATTAGTCAAGTGTCAACGTGGAAGTGTGTTGATGAATAATTACGTGTCATTATATAGTTCAATACTGTTGCAAGCGATATGTGTATAAGGCTACAATAGGTTTCACTTTCCTTTGACAGGACCAATGCATGCTCAATTAGGTGTCAATGCGGTCTCTATTGGTTACCGAATCTGTGACAGACTGACAGTGGCAAGAGATATTATATAACAAAGGTTTATAGGGAATGTTATATAATTAGATGCAGTACGTGCATGTAATTGAAATCGAGTTGTCTATTTAGGTTAATATTCAAATTGAACCCTTGTGGGTCATTACGGAAAACCCTCAATGTCTCCAAGTTGATCATCAAATGAGTAGGTATAGTGTGTGACTACTCGTTGTTAAATTTGAATACATTAATTGATTTATAACTTCTTTGCATAAATAAAAGTATAGTTATATTTTATGATGTTGATTGATATACTTGTTGCATAATTAATTATCAAATAAGTCTCAGTATTTGCGAAGAAATCGTATAATATATAGTATATACACAAAAATAAATTATTTTCATGAGGAAAATTTAATGCAGTATAATGATTTATCATTATGCTGCGTATAAATATTGTTAAATAATACATAAAAATCAAACGTCACGATGTTCATTCGCGCTAATATTTTAAATCGCTCATCCAATTTTAATGAAACTTTGTAATGATAGTTAAAAAGAAAAAAAAAATGAACCCAGTAGCTGGCGGTAAGGGAGAAAATAGTGGGTAACTGAACAACTAGTCTATTAAATTCATTACAATTTTACTATTGTCAATGCTAATAAATATATAATTGTTGATCATTAGTTTTACTAAAACTCAAAAAACGGCTTGACTGATTATAATACGTATATTTTTTTTATTTTTTTCACCTTTGTGTGGTTTAAAAGAAAAAAAGTCGAAAATCTTAACTTACAGCTTAAACATTTAAAAATTCAAATACTTAAGTAATTTTATATGGAAATCGCTATTTCTGATTACTTGTAATAGATCTAGACGTTTTTCTAAAAATTAATATGATGAAAACCAGTAATTTAAAAAAAAAATTACCATTAATACATTTATAACGTGTGAACAAAGATTTTAGACTTTTTAAATATGTTTTTGTTACCTTTTTTTCATGGATTGTATTTTTTTATATCAGTTACAAAAACTATAAAATATAACAAAGATTTATTCCATTATTTAAATTTGTTGATTTATGTTTGTATTACATAGTACATTTATAGGGAAAAGGATCTTTTGCTAAATAATAAATATCCCTTATAAAAATTGAATGAATTTTAGTTTTAGTCGGAATATTAATATTAATTTACTGGGTACAGAGGAATAACACCTGAGTCCTCAGGAATGGCAACGCATGCGGGGTATCATGGGCAAAACAGTATACTCTGTTATGTCTTTGGTACTGCTCATGTCTATAGGCGACGGTTACCACTTTCCGTCAGGTGGGCCGTCAGCTTGTTTGCCATTCTAAGTTGAATAAAAAAAAATCGCGAATTTTATTGTAGATCTATAAAAGAGAAACAATATATTTTCTTTTATCTCAAATGTTTGTTTATACGTATAGACCTTCCTCTTGAATCACTGTGTCTATAGATGAAAATCGCATTAAAATCTTTATATAAAATAAAAATTGCGTAGTTTAAAAGATCTGAGCGTACAGAAGGCGAGAAGTGACCTTGTTTTATACTATACAGAGATTATTTGTCATTTTACTTGTGTATTATATACATATATTACGTTTCACGAACTAACCCTAAAAATACTTTTTCCTTTAATGTTCTCAAGGTTAGGTGAAAATCCCTCAATGAAGAAATCTCTTCAAGGAATAAAAGTTTGTCTCCGTACTTACTTTATGTAGCGGTCAGTATTTTTTTTTTTTTATTTTGTTATTTCTCTCAATTGTGAAAGTACAATAAAGAAGAATAAACAATCTATTAGTACTCATGTAACCATAGTGTCCTTCAGTGTTATATTTTTTTATTTTCTGCAAAGGTAACTACGCGAAGACTTTAGTTGTGGCTTCTTGTATAATAATTTTATGGGAGCAAGAAATAAGTAATATTTTTTAAAGTACCAAGTATGAATTTTTAAAATTTAGAGATTTAAGCTGATATTCTAATTTGGAATCCCAAGATAGAAGTACAAATAAATCTCATTGACCTGTCACTGCTCCAACTATATAGTATATGTATGGTATAATTAAATACTAAGTATTATACTGTACTAGTGATATTAGTAGACTAATCACTATGGTAACCAATGGGTATAAAAGTAACTACCTAATACAGGCAAATTAGGTGAAAGACGACACCCTGTGAGATGGTGTCACGACCTCCAAGGACAAGTCGATGAATGCAATTGGCACGGGATCGTACTTTGTGGCAAAATATGAGGACACCTAGGTCAAGAGATACGATGAGGTCAGATTATCTTGACAGCATATGATAAATGGCTTTAGTCTAACTTTTAGTTAAGTCATCCACTATTCAAACAATTTCATATATAAAACTTGGTATATCAAATAAATTGATAGCCCAACTAATGGAAAGTGACCGTCGCCTCGACATAAGCGGTACCTTTAATATAAAAGAATACACTATCACGCCCGTTACCTTTTATCTACTGCCATTCTTAGACTGTTTTATTTTATACTAGCTCTTTGGGCGCTACTTCGTACGTGAGGATTTCATACGTAAGAAAGCCAATAAAAATGTAATTAAAGTCAAATATTCAAGAACCTAACTGTGAAAACTGCATTCAATTTGATGTAGTATTTTTTGTGTGATATCGATACAAACATACAGACCAATAAACGGACAGACAGACAATTTTTTAAAGAAATATTGTCATGATATCTATCTGTCATATTAAGATTCTAAATATAAATTTGTCTTAAATATCTCTTTTTGACAGATGTCGCCTAGTTACTGTATTATTATATTTTATATTTCTTCGTACCCAGTAATTTCACTGCCGTTTTGTGTCTTCATATTAGAATGTTTATATCTAGAATCCGAAACATAATCTCTCTGTATGTTGTAACAACGCGTAATAATAACGTAACATCCTGAAATAATCCACGGGTGTAGGACGATGGAGGACGACCTTAATATTATACAGTACAGTAAGTCAGCGTAATCGTGTTGGATCGAATTGTAATTACGCACGGCGGTAATATGAAGCTTGAGTACTTTGTATTCCGAGGGAGCTGGTCTTATGTCGTTAGTAATAATAATATGACAAAATTTTATCTATACACCACTCTTATCTTTTTTGCAAAATTTTAATTAATTTGCAAAATTATTAATAATTTTTAAGAAATTTTATTAATATTACGTATAAATTAGAATGCTTATAAAGTTATATTTATAGCTTTTTATAGCTTTTAATTTACTTAATGGAACTGCATCTTAACACAATTACGTTTAAATGGCTAAATTTCATATGAGTAGACCGTATACGTATGGTAAATTATACTAATTCGCGATACAAAGGATGCAGCTAGTGTCAAATAATACATTTGTTAAAATAAGAATTGCTTTAGAAAATTCTATTTTCATTAACATTGATTTACTAAAAGCTGCCGCTTAAGATGCTAATAATATATGCCATTATTTGCATTATATGCACAAATGGGTCTGATCATTAATTTAATTTTTTTTGTGATTCTAAGAATTATATTAGTTTTATATTTTTTTTTTATACAACTTAGAATGGCAAACAAGCTGACGGCCCACCTAATAGAAAGTGGTAACCGTCGCCTATAGACATGAGCAGTACCATGGACATAACAGAGTATACTGTTTCGCCCATGATACCTCCCATGCATTGCCATTCTTGAGGGCTCAGGTGTTATTCCTCCGTACCCAGTAAATTCACGCCATATCCCACCCTTCAAACCGAAACACAGCTATGCAAATACAACTACTTTACGGTTGAAACACGAATGGGACAGAGTTATCCAAGCAAACGACTTTTGTACAAAGTCTCCCTCTGGTATATTAACATGTTCAGATATTTGTCATTGAATTACGCTTAAACGACTAAATTGCATGTAGAGAAAACTACAGTATACAGCTAGTTAATTGTATAAAGAAATTTCTGTTAATTATAACAGGTATGTATTATTCAATTTCCTACGTCACTTAACGAAAATAAATACGTTGTTTGAATTGTGCAACTTTTGAAGGATTTGCAAACTTCGAAACTGTACTTAACTTACAACCAATTCATCTACCGTTGTAAACAATATGTGCGCACGTAATTCTATAAATAAAGAGACGGGTTACCAATCTCAAAACCAAATCACTTTGTTTGTTATAATACTAATGATTTTATTAATTCAAAAACAAGGACAAACTAAAATAACAACAACGCAAGTTATTTAATAGGTTTATTTTGTTTGTATAAAATCGTACTAAGTTTCAGTCTTTATTTATTTAAGGGCAACAAGAGGGGCAGAGGGAGCGAAGTATGGTGCAGGGGCAACGAAGGGCGCTGCGTAGCGAGCGAACGCGGGAAGTACAGGCGCTGCCAATCTAGCTGCAGGTGCGAGGTACGGGGCTGGTGCAGCAGCAATGTATGGGGCGGGAGCAGCGGCGACAACTGGTGCTGCAACTGGTGCTACGTATTTTGCCGCTGGTGCAACTAATGGCGCTGCGACTGCGGGTGCGGCTACCAAAGGCGCGGCAGCTGCCACGAGACCATTATAGTTCCTTGCGATGTACTGGGAGCTTGATGCTGTGACGAAGGGAGCAGGGGCAGCGACTAATGGGGCTGGTGCAGCCACAACTGGAGCGGGTGCAGCGAGAGCAACTGGAGCAACGCTAGGCTTGGCAGCAGCCAAAGCGATGGTGGCCAGGAAGAAAATCTGTAAATAAAGATTTTGATTAAAATTCGAATGAGAATTTCTCTACTAAACTGTAATATTTTGTCATTTACATGTAGGCAACTTACAGTTTTGTACATTTTGTATGTTTGTTGTTTATCTGTTGAACAGAAGATGAGTGTGTGATGCTTGCAGTTTGGTGACATTACCTTTTATACAATAGTCCATAGTAAGAATCACATTGTGTTACGTTTCGTCACAGTATTGCGGTCACTTGTTGAATTCTACGCACGCATTGGGGACAACATTACGCCAATAAAGCGGGACCCGGTGATAACGTAACATTGGTCCAGTTTGTCTATTTTGAAGATAATCAGGTCTTTTAATCAAAATGTCAAGGTTTTTCGAGTGAATCACGATCGTACTTTATTTGTTGATAAGTGGATACATTGTGAAATTTAATTAAATCTGCGGTAAGTGGTTGGTAATTTGCGGGTGTTACTGGATTATCAAATGTTACTTGTTGAGTTTCGCTACTATAGAATAACGACATATGTATACATGTACTATGTTAATAATAATATGTTGGAATAGTGTGAATATTGCTGCATAGTATCTGAACATATGTGTTGTTGGGGGGAAAGGGATTGTTAGTAATGGAGACTGAGAATCGCATTGCTACCAATATACCCAACGAGGTCGACCTCCTCGCGGTTCTCCCTGGAAACTATCATGGATAATTCCTGATGAATTCATCATGATGGGCTAACTGGCCTGTTTTCATTCACTGGTGCTCCGCCAGCGTATCCCGTTAGCGCAGGCGGGGTTACAGTACCATTTTCACTCATAAAAAAAGGAACATGTGTTGATAACTGTTAATGACTATTAAACGAACTGAGTAGGTATACTCTAAATAAAGGGCTGCTTCATATTCATTCAATATCATTACTAATGATTATTTATTAAATATGATATTTTTGTTCATCCCAAAATGTATTAACTTAACTGAGTCCATTAATTTTGTTTTCTTATCATAAGCAAAATGTATTTCTGATTGACTCTTAAAGTAATATTTTTTTTCTGCCTGTATACATAAGTACTCGTAGCGTAAGGTAAATTCAGAGGCTGATAATTGTTATTGGATGAGTAAAGAATTAAAATCTGTTGGGTTAAAAAAATATAAAGGAAAGAATGAATAATAACAAAGAAATATTAGGTTCTTTTCACAAATGTTTGGTCAAGTCAATGATTTTATCAAATTTGTTTCATTATAATATTATTAAGTTACATGCATCCTAGGCTATATCCTATTCTAGTAGTATTTTTTATTTAATGTTATAAAATAATATTAAAAACGAGTCTGTATTAAAAAAATCTTTTTATACATTTTTCGACATACGTAAAGTCTTATTGTAACTTCTATTATGTCTTAACAGCTGGAAAACATGTTTTGTCGTTGTTGATAGTCTATTTACATACACAATATAATATAGAATAGACTGTGCTGATCGGCTTACCAATCGGTTAGCTGTCAAATACCTCACAAGTATAATGGGATTACAGATTAGATAATACTCTGGAAGGGTAATATGCACGAGGGGTGACATGCATAATTATGTAACTATTTGTCCTCTACAATTGTGTATTTGAATGACAGCCACTAGTGTCCGACAGAAACTAGGTTTCACAGTCGAAAAATAAACCGAAATTTCATTTCAACCTCTGTTCTAGACTCTGTTGAAACTGAAACCAAAACATTTTTTTCAATCCACTTCAAACAAATTCAGATGTATTGTTTTATATTTGTTATTTCAGAAATCCGTTATTTATAAATTGATTTAGAAATTATTTTTTTAACGGAAAGGATAAACTTTTGGATGACTCATAGAAATTTTATCAAAATTGGTTCAACAATGTTGTTTCTAAATCAAATTAACTGGTTTTTCTATTATTGAAATTAGTGTATGTTTTTTGTGGAATAAAATGTATATGTGAGACAATTCATTCATTAATTTTAAAAAATTTGTTAATTTTAAATTAAAAATATGCATTTTAATTAAAGAATGTAATTATGATATGTCACAAACTCAATTGAAACTCCAAAAATCCGATCGAATCTCGCTGAAATCGGAAATGAAAGTTCGCTCGGACACTGTTGGCGGGTTTTCTCCCAGCATATGATAAACATTTGCATACAGAAGTATGCATTGTGACTCTATGTATATATAGGCACAAATATAATTAGAAGTGAGTATAAAACTCATGTCATTCGCAATAACAAATTTTATTTTTTATTAAAAATTGATATTTCAAATCTATATGAAAAAGCATTAATAAGAAATATAATGTATTTATTTAAATAATTCTAACGAATTATTAAACCAATATTAAATACAATATTTAGAACAAAATTTTAAATTATTTAAAATTTTGTTCTAAAAATTGCATCTAATATTGGTAAAATTAGTATGAGTCCAATATTACAATATAATATTTAGATTTTTTCGATATAAACTGATTTTTTAGTATTGAGATGGCAAACAAGCATACAGCTGGTTAATGACAATATAATGGGCAATAGGCACCCGTTACCGATCCTAAAGAAACAATTTTTTTTTAAATACATGCTATATCTCGTGGGAAATTATAGGCTAGATTATCAAAATTACCAAACATGTAGCATAGCATAAAAAACATAGACTCCTTTAAAGTCGATTAAAACATCACCTGTGATCTCAACAGTACATACTATCGCTTTGTAGTTAGTTGCACGGAGGAAGGTACATATATATCTAAGTGATATCATTTATCATCCAGATTAACTATAGCATGAAATACAATTACCATTCTGTGGTACAGTCACAGATACTGTATTATACTTGTAAATCTAAGGATACACTACAGTACAGTACATTGAGTGTCCGTAATATCACTAATACATAATTGTATTAATTAATAGTTACCATATTTTTTTTTTTGTAATCCAAAAATTTAGTTCCAAAGTCACATAATTTAAACTGATAACAAAAATTTGAGTACAGAACTCAGAACAGATTTAATTAAACTAGAACCGATGGAATTAAAAAAAAAAAAGATATTTTACGTGTATATTTTTTTTGTAATCATTAATCTATTTTTTGAAATTGACAATAAAAAGTATATATATGTATGCATTACGTATAACTTATTTATTAGAGATACTGTACATCCTAAAGGTTGACTGGTAGAAAATGCTACTAGCGTTAATTAAGTCCGCCTTTTGTAGCATATTTTCTTTTGGTAAATAAAGTTACACAAAAAAATAAAAATAAATAATTCCTTACTACTAGCTTTTACTTCCGACTTCCGTGTAACCATTTTATTATTATCGATGACTATATTGACTGTTCAGGATAAGTAATAGTCTCTATCCTTCTCCATCTTAAATGGTACCTGTATGTCAAATTTCAATAAGTCGCTAAGGCGCCAAAAGCTAATAAAAAGACAAAATCACATTTATATTTATAATATATATTAGTAAGGATTATTATAGTGTTTTCGCATCCTACTGAGAATCGATTGCGAAACCATATTTCCGTGAAACCATGTTCACTGTTACACTACTGTCACATTGAAGGTCAGCAGGTGACGTATCCGCCGCGAAGGTTACCGCGTCATAAGTGTTTTGGTAACCGGTTACTTTACAGACGTTGGAGCTTTTGAAGCGAGGTGTATGTAATGCTTGCTATAACTTGCTGGTTTGTCTTTTGCTTGGTGTGAATTAGGATAAAAAGAATATAATAAATACGAATATAGCATATCTGTTTAAATTCAATTAACCATTTAAATCTTTGAGAAACAACCATTAAAATTTTCAAACATTTTCACGAATTTTTACCTTTATAATATAAACATTACATTTTTAAATTTTATTTTTTATCTTAGTCTTGTAAATGGAACCTTAATTTTGCTGCCAATCCACTATCTGTTCATCCGTATGGCACCGGTGTCTGCCTTAATAATGCAGCGCATTACGGAAGTGAAATTTGGAAATTCAGTGTAGAATGTTAACACAAAATCGAATATTGATTAAACAACTTTACCCCTAAGAAAGGCGAAACAAAAAATTCTCGCGTCGTATTGTGGGGTTTTGTTGTTTATGCAATCGACAAGATTTACTCTCGTCTCGATACTTTATTAGTTTTATCACGACTGAAGTAGTTTTCTTTACAGTAGTATATCTTGATTCATTTCTTCTATGTATAAAATCCTAAAATTGAGTAATAACAATTTAATAATATTATAATTTAACATTATTACCTTACCTATGACGTCATACATATAAAATTTAGAAATTAAGGATATTTATTTCCAAAAATATTACTTATGCAGATGCCTACTATTTGAAGAGGGTAAAACGGAGAAGGGTGTTGCTAGTCTTGGAGACGACCGACCCCATTTTTAGCTGTATATTGACAGCTAAAAATGGGGCCGGTTACACCTGTTAGTTTTAACTCCACGCAGTTTCTCCTGGAAATCATTGTGATTAATTCTGGGTGAATTACTCACTACGATTTCCTCGAGAAACTGAAGAATTCGTCAAGATGACATCTGAGCTAAGTCTATCATCCCTCACTGATACAGTTTGGTATCACATCAGCGCAGACCAGTAACATAGAAGCCATTATCATTTACATTCTCAATTATAAAAAAAAAAAAAACAATCCTAAGATCGTAAATCCTTACCAAATTTTTTTTTTATATTCTTGACTACAAAAGACGCAATTCTCATACAAGTAGTACCCAGTAGAATTACTCTCTATAATATTTAATTATTCATAAATTTTACGTTTCTCAACCTAGTAGCTTTCTTTGTGGTGTAAAAATATTTACAAAACATTTTGCTTTTACATTAGACATATGTCAGCATTTTTGATAATAGGTGAAAATGAAAAAGTAGCCCCGCCTGCGATATTGAAAACGCTGACAAGGTATCAATGAGAGAAGATTTATAGAACATAAAAGTAGAATTTTTTTATATAACTAAGATGGCAAACAAGCATACAGTTCGATACTAAATGGTTGTTTTAGTTTATGGACGCTTGCAAGACTAGGGGTATCATATGCGTGTGCGTTGCTAACCCTGAAGAAACCTTAATATACTCTTTTTGAAGAACCTCATATTGTAGTCTCTAGGAAAAATCTCGGCAGGAAGCTCATTCCACAGCCAGAGCGTTTACGGGAGAAAACTTCTTTGAAACTATACACACTATACGTGATTATTTATGTTCAAGTATGTGAGGATGAATTCCTTGTCGACGGCGGGTGATATTTCAAACAATTCCTCAGAACACAATCCGTTATACAAGCGGTAAAACAATTTAGCTTAACATGAGGAATTCAACAAGAATTAACCACGATATTTTCCCGGGGAACCCGAGTAGAGGTCGTCTATTAAGTATAGGGCATATTGCAATCGAGTTGTTAATTATTAACAATTGCTTTTCCTCGAGATATGACAGTTGCTAATGTGAGTATCATGAACGTTTAAAGACTGCTATTTGTGAGGGACTGACGCCTTTTATATAGAACAATTTAGGAGTAGGTCAGTTTATGTTCTGCATATAGTGAGATTTGCAGCAAGATACATCAGTAATCTTTTTATGTTACTGGCGAGAGCTACGTGTTGCACAAATCTTGAGTTGTTTTGCGTTATATTTAGTTTTTATCTGATCTGTTTCTTTTACATTATAGTGTTTGTTGTCAAAATAAATTTTGTATATTTTTTTGGTATAGTACTAGATCAGTCTGACCAGGATGGTAAGATTAAAAATATAATAAATTTCCTGAATAAAAAATGTAGTTTACCTACTTAATCATTTACCCATTCCTTTGTTACCTACTAGTCACCGGCACAATAAAATATTATAATTATATGTAAAAGAAATCCATGTAAATAATGACAAACGAAATCTATATACGAGTAATGTATTTTCAATATCTCGGTTAATTTGGTATTTTTTAGGATAGATTTTTTTTTATGTAAGTTATATGTATATCGAAATTATAAAAGTTTAAGATAGTTTTGTTTTCAAGACTCAACATTAAATTATATTTTACTTTGTGTACTGTTTTAAATTCAGTGGTTTTATCTTTGGTATTGTCGATAGAAAGTCTGTCTATGTTGAATTATTAACATGAAGACTATTTCAAAGATTGTTATAGGTATGTAATGTAAGATATTTATTTTATTAGAAATAAGAAATAGATGCCTCAACTAAAATGTGGAAATCATCGTCTAGGGACATAAATAGCATAATGTATATTAAAGAATACACTGCTGTCCTTGAATGCAACCCTCGTGCGTCGTTATTGAGTAATAAGATAAGTAAGTGAACTAATTATAGAGCTTGCGACGATTCACTTTCCTTTTAAATCGAAACAACAACGCACGCATCTACTTTATGGCAAATATCGTTAAGAAGAATTTTAAATGAAATAACAGTAAAATACATTTAATAAATAGACAATATTTTGTTTGTAATAATCCTAGGAATTTAAAATATAATGAAGATTTTTGGATGTTTGAACAATGACGAAATTTTGCATTAACATAGATTGACCATGTTCTAGATTAACACACACTTATTTATCTTGGAACATAAAAGCAAGTAAAGTTGCGGGATACTGATAGTTAAAAACAGGCTATACTTTTATGATACTTATTAGATTGAATCTAAATTACTAAATTATGTAAATCTAGGGCGGATCTCATAGCAATAACACATATTTTCGACTATCAAGTACGTCAATTATCAATATACCTTGTCCGGATATTATTATGTGCTTTCTCAACAATCAGCCATGTCTTTATTATTCCTTGGACGTTTTCAATACGATTTTTGTAGTCATCAAGGTCCATTGTCCTTAACCAGCGTACTGTTAAGTATTCAGTGACACCCGCTCCATTGCCTCACTACGATGCAAAATTTGTTACACCTATATATAAGCGAGGGCTCCTTATTCTAGCGCCCGCATTATTATATTAAAGGCCAGGCGAAGGGACACTACTATGTTACGAACGGTATTTTTATAAAAAATATATCATAAAAATATTAACTATGTATCTTCTAAGATTATATAAATATATCAATGCAATTACTTTTCAGGTTATCGTTTTGTCAGCATTGTACACAGTCGTACAGTGTTCTGGAGTCATACATAATCCAGGAATCGTGCCTGTAGCTGCAGTTCCCGCGGTGCAGAATGGACCTGTTGTCGCAGCGACTAGCTCACAATATTTCGAGAGAACCTTTAACCGTTTGGTAGCTCCTCCCGTACTAGAACCGGTTATTCCTGTAGCGCCCTCGCCTCCGCCCGTATTCATCCAACCAAGCCCCAGCGCGGCCGTACCAGTCGCACCGGTCGAACCTACAGTTACTGCACCAATTCAACCAAACGTCGCCATAGCCGTAGCGACGGCTCATGCTGCTGCTCCTGTCGCCACCATACTTTTGCCACCATACCCTTTCGGTCCTCCACCGACCATCGGGTTTATACCACCATCACCACCTATCAATGTACCTGATGAAGACAGAAAAGAATCAACAACCGAACCGACCACAAGAACTGAAACTAAAACAACTGTAAGAACACCCGAGACTACAACACAGCTTCCATCGAATTCAGATAACAATTTTGTTCAAGCGCTACCTTCGAATGAGAACGTGAACTTCAAACAGTATTATGCACCACCACAGTACCCTCAACCGCCTCCCCGACCGAAACCACAGAAGCTAAAGACATCCGTCGAAGTTGTTCCAGTACCTTTACAATATATATCTCCACCACCAATTAAACAGCCCACTCATGCACCAATTATAAAACATATACACACGTACGTGCCAACCAAAATTATTGTCAGGTCAGTATCGCCTTACAGGATAAGGACAGTTAGAAGACCAGCTCGTATAGTGATGTACCGAGCACCAGTAAGCGCCAAATTAGGCGTTCCTCAATTTCCTCAAAATAACGGAAGGCCCGTTACACGAGATATTGAACCCACCACTTTCAGACCATTTATAAGGCCCACTACGAAGCCTCCTCGAGTATGACAGTAGTATTAGTATCAGCAGTATTATTAATTTACACTAGTTAATTTTGTGCACTTGTAAATATTATGTAAAAATACCTCATGTAAATAAATATTTATACTTTTTTATTTTTTTTTTTATATTTCCGTTATGAAATATTTTTAACAAAAAATTATGAATTATTCATATTATGAAAAACGCCAATTGCATGAACTAACTAATCAATCCAGTTCATCGTCATCATATCAGCTGTTAACTGTCTACTGCTGATAATAGACCTCTCCTATTAGAGAGTTTTGCCAATAGTTACCACCCTTGGCAGGCGGGTTGGCAATCGCAGTTAGGTTTTTGGAGATGTTTTAAGAGAGACGCTGGTGCCCACCCCTCAACCATAAGTTCCTTTAGTCGTTTCCTATGATACCTACGGGAATGGAATGGGTAGCCTATTCTATACTGGGACACTTACGGACAATTGCTCGTATTTAATTAACAAACTGGGGTATATCTATATGTAGTAAGATATTAAATATTATTTAAAATATTATATATATTAATATGATAGATATATTTTAGTCTAACATACATATTAAAGATGAAATATAATAAAAAAAACATAACAAAAAAGTAGGTACTATAGAAGACAACAATGATTGACTGTCCACTTTTATATTTTATAACAATATTTGTTAAGTTGATGATTATAGACTGAATGAATTAAAACTTTTTATTGTTTCCTCAAAAGAGATACAGTTAATAAAACGCTTGCTTTTGCTTGTATATAGCTATTAATATAATTTTCGTATCCACAATTTTAATAGATTTTAACATTTTTTTTAAAAAGTATATTGTCTTACAAATTATGGCGGGAAATCCATAAAGTATATATTAATCACAAAATTATATGAGAGTCGACACTGACCTTATATTTACAAAACTAAGGGAATAACTGTGCAACTAACTAAAAGTACTGACGCAATAAATGAATAATCATATGCTGATCAACTATTAATAAGGGGGGACGGATTGTTAGTAATGTAGACTACTAGTCTCATTGCTAGTAATATACTTTGTCATGTCTACCTCCACGTGGTCCCCCCTGGAAATCATCGTGCTTAATTCCAAGTGTATTTGTCACGGTGGGCTAACTGACTTGCCTTTTCATTCTCACCTATCATCCTTCACTGGTGCCCCGCCAGCGTATACCGTTAGTAAAGGCGGAGCTACCATTCCATTATCATCCATAAAAAAATATTAATAATACGTCTCCTCCCAAAATATCAATATGTATCATAAAAGATCCAGCTATGTTAATGAATTGGTTGGACAAAAACCATTTGTATGAAACAAATGGTTTTTGTCTATAGTAACGCGGGCTTTGGCAATTTATTTTAATTTTAGTAGTAATGTAATAATAAAAGATTTTTAATTAGGTTTATAGAAGATATGACTGTGTAACAAAATTTTTACTATTTCCTGTGTATGTTAGTGAAAAGATAAAATTGAAATTCTTTGGATTTTCATAAGATCTTATTAGAAGATTTTATTGTTGTGATAACTTCAATTTCTTTTCACAATAATAACAGTAAGGTATTGGTACTAGATATGTGTATCTAAAGAGTAAAATATTAGTCTACTATTACTATGTTATATTATTTAATGGTTAACTATAGAAGGGAATATTTTATTCGTTATCAATGAGACTGCTTTACTACTAAAAATTTTTTCAATATAAATTATAGCCCATAATACATGATTACTATGTAAAACTGGTATTTTCTGGGTTCATTCACTATAAACAAGAAGATCTTTGTTCTATATAATATTAGTTTACAATATAATCAAAATCATCACACTTTGGAATACAAAATACAAATGTCTGGTCGAGGATTAAAATTATGTTAAAAAAGTTCAGCCTAGTTATTACAGTATTGTGTAAGCGCCTGTCAAGATTGCAAAGATTTACCGGTTGAATTTAGTTATTGCTTTTGTAAATCTAACAGGTATATCTATATTTTAATATTACTGCGGCTTTATTTCAAAATATATTATTTATTCTAGATGTAAGTAATAATAATTTTGTATTTATGTTATTGGTGTTTACTATAAATATAAAATATTATATTGTACTTCTTTTAACGATTGGTTACCATACATTTTGTCGTTATAAACATTTGCCAAACTTTATCCTGTCAACATTATAAAATAAATTAATTATAAAGAATAATTATCTAAATCATGCCTATATCTAAGTATAATAAGAATTATAAAAATCTATTTTATAATACTTATTTTAAATTCAATGATAATAACTTCAATAAAACAAGTATAATATTTAATTACAATTTATTTTGCTTTAGATTGAATTAAAAATTTTATATATTTTGATAGAAATCGTTAATTATATTATAAATGCGAAATTGAGTTTGTTGTTACCTTTTAGCACCTTAAGGATTTAACCCATAAACGTAGTATAAATTACAACATACGTCAGTACGTAGTGCGTAAAATTACGTACTAGTGTCTGTCAAGATAGAAAATGCAATTCCAAAAACAAGACAAGAAAATGATTACACTAGTGCTTAGTTAAGTTCTAAATTTATTTACGAAATGAAGTAGTAAACATTCATGTATTTGTTGTAATTTTAATTTTATTCCGTAGATGTTCAGAAATTTATTATTTAAATTCTGTAGATATATTTTTCCATCACTTCTTGTACAAAATATATCTGATTGTTCTGTATTATGTTATTTGTAGTTATGTTTTATATTGCAGTAAAAGAGTTAAAATATTAAAAGTGTAATTACGTAAAAATGTTCAATTTTAGTTGTTCTTCAAGACGTAAAAATAACTATATTGTGTAGGTATGTGTTTTACTTATTTATTTCGCTCCAATATATATGTTTTTTTTCTTTTTTACATTATCAATACGTTACTTTGTAATTTAAGGTTTACTAAACATTATTTTTCAGGAAGGACCTGACCGTTTAAAAGTCCCATATGTATCCTTAGCTGTATATCTGCATTTAGTTAAAAATTTCGCTAAAAATACGTTATATATCATGTACATATACATTTAGATGTAATTTTGTTTTTTATCTTAACCTTAATGGTTTAATATACAGCAATACGTGATGGATAAGGACATGGGCTATTTTTTATCTTAATTAATAAACACATCGCGATTACACAGACGAAATTGCTAGTAAAAGTTAATACGAACACCTATTGGTATTCATATATATTTAATTAAATTGTAATAGCACAATTAGGTAGATAATTTTAAGAAATATGTTCTTAAGAAATATGTACTTGTAATTCTTCATTAGATTTTATTTTATTTCAATATTGATAAATAGGAAGACATATGATATAAACAATAGTAATGAATTTTCGTTAAACTTTTGTTTATACCACGAAGGTAGCAAACAATCATACAGCCCGCTTGATGGTAAACGGTCACTGTTTAAATTACATGTTCCTTAAAATTTGGAATGTAACATAAAATGGTCGGCTCCGCTACGACATTAATGCGTAAATTTAATTATAGGATAATCCTTGCAAACTTTATTTATAATTAACTATTGCAAATTTTATTTATTTCATACTTACTTTGTGTACTCAACGTTTTATATACTATAATCAACACTATTATCTAAACGATGCTTTAAAAAGATTGCAGAACAATACAACCGATTTATTGTACTTATAATTTTGTAAATTTTACAAGTATTACAAAAGTGAAATTTGTAATATAAAGTATATATTCTAATAGAATTTATAAATAATCCATCTTAGTATGTTTGTAAAATGACTGAACAGATATAAATGAAATTTGATGCATACAAAATACATTATATTAGTATATAAATTAGTATTTACATGCATAAACTCATGGGAAACATCTATTCGTAAATAATCTGTATCTGTAAAAGGAACTTTCTTTCTAGTGAGCATTTTTGTCTTTTAACCTATTTTAGAAAAAATTAGAGGAAGGCTTAAAGAAAAAAAAAAATGTTGCGTTAAAAATAGCTTTTAATTATCACATGTCAGTCAGTCAGTAGTCATTTTAAACAGCAACGATCGGCGCTGGAGCTGCAACGTACGGGGCAGCAACAGCAGCGGCGGGAGCGACGTATGCGGCTGGGGCGGCGACGTACGCGGCTATACCATTAGTGATGCGGTGGAAGTATTGCGAACTGGTAGCAGTCACGATGGGAGCGGGAGCCGCAGCCACTAAGGGGGCGCTGACTAATGCGCCGGAAGGTTTAGCGACACAGACGGCCACCAAAACAGAAAGGCATAACACCTGAAACAATAAAGTTTCATCTTATTTATTATTAGTCGAAGAAAATGATTATTGTAAAGAAGCAATAAATATGCTTACGACTCTATTTGTTAGTGGGATAGTCTGAGGTATTTGTAATTATTGTATTATTTTAAAAATTTCACGACCAACCAATTGATTTTTCTGAACTTAGTTTGCTGATAGATTTATTTAGTAAATTAAGATTATAAACTTTATCAAAGTATAAATCAGTATATGAATTGAAGAATGGTGAATTGCAGGCATCTTAAAATGAGTTTTCTCCCTTAATTCCTATAAAGAAAGATGTTTTGAAATCACTTACAATCTTGATCATTTTGTTTGATTGTACTGTTGTTGACGAAAGCACAGGTATTGTACTGATTGGCACTGCACCAGAACGTTATATACTGGCCGATAATGTTTGTGACGCAATATTAACATACACGGCGACTTCTTGGCATTGGTTGGGGCGTGATGTGAATTGAGCCAGATTTCACTCCTTTTGGGAATCTATCACTACACCGTCATCTGACGGAAACAAGCTGAATTCCAAATTTAAATTTTACTCGTAATTTTTAAGTCTTTTTTTTTTAAATATATTTTAAACAAGAGAGATTCACTTTTTTATGCAACTTAGAAAGGCAACTAGCTACGTTTTAGCTAATATAAAGTGGGAACTGTCATGACAAACATAAGCACCATCATGGATATTTATGGCATTATATTTCCATATGCTTTAGTATCTCTGTCAAATCTCACTGTTTTCCTCTACACTTCTTCCATAATATTGCCATTACATCATACTATTGATATATCATAACAAACAATTGTTAACTTGATAATATTGATTTCAATGAGGTTCAACACAATTATGTCCGAAAAGCTCAAACAAAGCAATTGTTTCGGCAAACGCTTATATAATCACTCATGAGGGTGTTATATCGATAAATTTAAATAGCAACCGAACATTATTCGTGATAAAATTAGAACTCAATTCAGTAATATTGTTTTATACTCGATAATCCAAAAATTGTACAGTAGAGTAGAGTGATATTAATTACAAAGCAAGTAAGCATTATGATATAGTAGTAAAATTCAGTTAATTTAGTTTTACCTGTAGTAAATTATAAATCTCCTATACAATAGATTAAGTACCTTCCTTTGAAGTTCTTAAAGGTGACATGACCTTTTTATAGACAACAGAAAATTTGTCGTCAATGCAATTTGAGTAAGCTGTAACGACTTGTATATTTTCAACACGTGTAGATTGTATGTATAAAGAATTGTTATATGTAACATTAGTAATTTATAATTTATCTATTACTTGTCTCTTGTTATATGTATGTTAACGGTTCAAACAATCGTCATAAAATATGGCACAAATCTACTATTTAGGATGGAGAAGTACATAGGCATGATTTATCCTGATCAAGCAAGATAATCTTGGTTATCTGAGCGAATTCACGGCCAAAGATTTTGTATATAATCTTGAAGAAATATTTAATATATTTTATACAAAGAGCTGAAAATATTAATATAGAACGTTTTCTTCAATTTACAAGTTATCAAAATGTTTATTTATATATATATATATATATATATATTAGCCTGCATCAGTTGTTAAGTTGTAAATATTATCTGTACAAATAATAAAAGACAAAGAAATAAGTTAAATTTATAAAAAAAAAACCTAATTCAAAAAGTATTATATGTTACTTATAAAATAAGAGAGAAAATAAATCGTACGTCATGTTTGCATTACCAAATTACATTACATTATATTTAATTAAATCATATCCAAATAGGTACGTGACCTTATTTTAAAAACTATCAAATCCCTGCGTATAATATACTATATGTATATATATATATATATAATATACTTAAAAAAATTTTTTTTCAACATTTGGGTAAGAATATCACATATGGACGCATCCTTTCTACTACGAAGCCTTATTTGTTTACGTGTAAAAATGTGTAGGATGTTTATCTACTCGTATTATATAATGTCTAACAAAGATACTCTCAAACTGACGTCAGGAGGCCTGCATTCGACATCTTCCATTGTCACTTGAGGCAATTACACGCATCACGTTTATTATTTCATATATTTCAACTTTACATTATTATATTACTAGCAATTACCGTCGACTTTGTCCGCGTGAACAGAATACGTTTTACCAAGATAAAAGTAACCTATATCCTTCATCATCGCGTGCTATTGTGTACTAAATATAGCACATGTATACAAAATTTCATAACGATTGGCTAATCCGCTAAGAGGTAACAAACTATCTTACTTTTCTATTTAGGTATAATTTACTAGCTTTTACCTTCATGCATAACAAGTAGTAAGGATTTTCATCTCGGTAGAAACTTAATTGTAGATATATCTTTGTCTGCTGAACGAATATTACCGTCAAATTGAAAAATTGGTTTCATACTTCCTTTATATTTTTTATATAATATTATATTCTTCTATTATAAATGTTCTATGTGGTTCTGGCATAGCATAGAACACTTTAACTAAGGAACATAATGGTAGACGGATGAGCAGCAGCATCCCTTTTAAGTCTAACTGCGGTTGCCACCCGCCTGCCAAGCGTAGAAATTGGTGGCAAAACTCCCTTTATGGGGAAGGTTTATAATCAGCAGTGAGCAGTTAACGACTAAAATGATAATGATGCTTATAAATGTTAATATTGAAATAATTTATCAATAGATTAGCTGGGGGGGAAGGGATTGTTAGTAATGGAGATTGAGAATCCCATTGCTAGCAATATACACAACCAGGTCGACCTCCTCGCGGCTCTCTCTGAGAACTATAATGGTTAATTCCTGATGAATTCTACATGATGCTAACTGGCCTGTTTTCATTCTCATCTATCACCCTTCACTGGTGCTCCGCTAGCGTATCCCATTAGCGCAGGCGGGGTTACCATACCATTTTTACCCATAAAAAAAATAGATTAGCTGACCCGGTGTACGTTATTTTACTCTTCACCGCTTTTTGTTCAATCCATTATATCTCTCAAATTGGAGAAAACGATCACATTCACAAAATTTCATTAAATTTAATTAAAATTTTATTAATGGATAAATAAAGGATGCCTCGCTAGTTTGGAACTAGATAAGAATCTAGTTCAAAATTAGTTGGGCATCCTCCAATTTGAAAATGCCAATAAAGCCGACGTAAATAATTGCAATACGGTATGACCCACGATAGTTATCAATTTAATTAATATCGGTTAAGCGGTGTCAAAGAATATCGAAACAGAGTTTTTTTGAATTGATACACATGTATCCTGTCACTAAGTAAACAGAATCATTTTCAATTTCTCTCTGTATAATAGTTTTGTATACGATTTCTCCACGTGTATATTGATATCGACGTAGACTCACATGTCACTGTGAATATGCGAATATTGTAGATAAATCAGGACATGGTTAATAAGAAATGGGAATTAATGCGATTATTTAGGTTAACTATTATATATATTTATCTGAATAATCTCGATGTTTCGAGTTACACCGAGTAAATATTATTTAAAAATAAAATAATTCCAATCTCTTATAAATCATAAAACATGTAACTCGAAAAAGTTAAAATCAGGATATAATTATGAAGTTGAAAACTACGTTGCTGCTTGTTTAATTTAAAAGCAATATATATTTGACCGTTAATAATTATTATTACTCTTTTTAAAAAGATCACTACGACGCCTTTCCTGGGGAAACTGCGTGGAGGTCGACCTGATAGGGTATATAATTAGCATTGGGATTGTTAGAACCCATTACTAACAAACCCTTTCCCCCTGTTGCCGTGTAGTCCCGGTATAGAATGGATCACCCCTACTTTTTGTTTCAATGTCGTAAAAGGCGACAAAGGGAATTTAGTGGTCGAGGAATCGGCAGCAGCATCCCTATTTAAACATCACCAAAGCCTAAATGTGGTGGCCAATTTACCACATTAGATATAATATTTATAAGCATGAATTCATCCACATAACCGGGATAACATATCTCGATTGATCAGGATAAAAAAAGTCTATGTAATTTTATATCCTAATCGGCAATAAACAAACAAATAAAATTTGTAATTGTTATAATTAGTAAAAGGAAAATTTTTTTGATATGTTATCAGACTAAGAAGTTATGTAAATATATTATCTATTCTATATTTCAGCCTTCAAAAGCTTTTTCAAGGAAAACTAAACAACAGTGTTGGTTTCAACTGAACAAAGCATCCAGTGACGCAATAAGGACCACTAGGTATGTAGGTAAGTACACACTTACGCGTGTAAACTTTCATGGACTTATTGAAAAGTTGTAAGTACTTCACTAAACTCTTACACCAAAGATTTAGTTAGGTGTTTAACTGTACTTAATATATTAGTAGGAAATTTATTGTTTTAGCTTAGAAACAATAAATAGAATACATAGGCATAGGGGGAAAGGGATTGTCAGTAATGAAGACTGAGAATCCCATTGCTAGCAATATACCCAACCAGGTCTACCTCCTTGCGGTTCCCTCTGAAAACTATCATGGTTATTTCCAGATGAATTCATCATGATGAGCTATCACCCTTCACTGGAGCTCCGCCAGCGCATCCCGTTAGGCGGGGCGTGGTATATATATATATATATATATATATATATATATATATATATATATATATATATATATATATATATATATATATATATATATATATATAGTTGTGCATATATATGATTATATATAATGATATTTATATAGAATCGACAACATGTTCATATCAATTTGTAGAACAATCGGACTCGCGGTCGCGCACCTGATGGAAAATCTGACGGCTCACCTGATGGAAAATAGTAGCCGGCGCCTAAAGACATGAGCAGTACCATTGACATAATAGAGTGTACTGTTTCGCCTATGATACCCTCTACACGTTGCCATTCCTGAGAACTAAGGTGTTAAGTCTCTCTACCCTGTAAACACAACTACTTCATGGTTGAAACACGAATGGGACAGAGATACCCAAGCAATTGACTTTTGTACAGTCTCCCTTTGATATGAAGGAGATATATGCTCTTCTTCGAAACATTTAGTCTCCTAACTATTTAAGCAATAAATTCCAGTACCTTTTTGAAACTCACGATCGTAACCTTCGTTCCAGTAATACTCTTCAACTGTCTATCCCCTCTCACCGAACTGGTTTCGCTTCAAATTCTTTTCTCCTACATTCTTCATAACTCTGGAACGCGCTTACTGATGCCATTAAGAGACTACCGGCTAAACTGTCTTTAAAAAAAACGTTCATTCTCACTTTTTTACTTTATCCGAGCAGTAAGTTTAAGTATTCTCAATTTCGTGTATAATATAATATATGTCATATACGTGTAAGTATATTTGTTATATTAATTCGTTTATATATATAGTATACTCTGTTATGTCTATAGTACTGCTCAAGTCTATAGGCGACGGTTACCACTTTCTATCAGGTGGGCTGTTAGATTGTTTGCCATTCAAAGTTGTATAAAAAAAATTGTATGTATGTATATCAATAATCACTAGTATTGCAAACGAGTATTCTGACACTTCTCTATGGTTGATTGGGAGAGAATGCTTTTAGCATTAAGTCCGCCATGTACACATATTTGTACTAATGAATAAATAAATAAATATACTATAAGTACTATATATTATACAAATATTATCTTTGGTACTATCAAAGTGCATTTTGTACCTAGTTCTGCAAGTATCGAAGTATAGTGCAACAAGTTTTGAGGTACTTACGCCTACTTCCAAAAGAGGTATCTAGACAAACTGGTCGATCGGCACGTGGTGCCGTTTTGTCTGGGTTGTTGGATTGTTTTGTATCTGAAATAATGAGTACTGTAAGATATATGTTAATTTCTGTGGTAAGTATCATCAATCTTTATTAAATATTAATTTTTACCTGTGACTTTATTCGTCATTCATATATATCGTATGTATGTATATATATATATTACCAAAATGAAAAGGAATATATATTTTTTAAACTTTCGTGTTGTTTACATATATTTTTAAATACACAATAGGGACTTAAAAGTTAAGTCCTGATTGTGTATTTAAAAATAATAATAATACCAATACATTATATTTTAACCATTATATTTACATGCCTTGTAACACTTCACATGCTGATTCGTCAATTGAAACGTTTCCTTTTTCATAGATTGCAGCTTCGATTTAAATATAAGCGTATTAAGGGTATGGCATCTTGAAGTCACGGTTTTCTGAAATTTTTCGGTATGAGATATACACTTACAATATTACAGTTGTAACAATAATTAGGTAAAAAAAAACACTTCATGCTATTGTTCATTATAATTACAACGACAGAGACAATGTCACAGTTACGAGTACCACACTAAACCTATGCAATTTGATATTATTGTTGAAGGTACTTTTATACATTACATACACGCATATAAGCCTATGTATTTGTATTATATACTTATTTGTATCTAGTTATATATGTAAATTTGTGGATAAATATAAGTACAGAAGGAACTCGCATTAAAAACACTGAGTCTAAGATTCCATATATATACAATCACTAGACAATATTTATTAGATATTTATGCAATCTCCTCTAGTTACATTAGGAACTTTGTGAAAAAAATTATATAAGGAGTATATAGATTCTAGGTGTATGAATTTTTGCATAAAAATTGTTAACGTAACTTAGTCAGCCTGAATTAAAGATAGGTAAGATAGTATTGATAAAAACTGTTTTTAGGTAACGAGATTTCAAGATAATGAATCCACGGGTTTTCTGATATAATATGTACTCATTTACGAAAATAGATCACGTCCAAGTACTGAAGTATAAAGTTTGTTATAGACAAACTTGCACATACTTTGCATATCATGTTAGAATCAAAACCAACTCTAGATTTAGATGATATGTTAGCGGCATTTTCCATTACCGGAGAATTAGTTGGATATTAAAATTAATAATATTGGTATTGTATAGGATTGAACTTATAACGATGATTGAATGTGATGAACCACTGGTAATTTATTTTAACATTACATATGTTACGGACCCCTAACGGGTCTGTGGACCCCACTTTAAGAAACTGCTTTTTAAGTTTTTTTGTAAAGTGGTCATTTTACAAAAAATCTTTAGTACAAAAAAGCGGACTGAAATATTAAGTACATTATCAAATGTTGTATTTTTTAAATATAAATAAATTATTTAAATTATAACATTACATATTATTATTTATTTATCTTATTATTTATTATTATTTTGCCGATATTTATCGGAAAAAAAGGTTTAATTTGACTCGATCATTTCTTATAGCCAATAACGATTACTTGTATATTATTGAAGTAGTAAATGGTTTTCAAACACGTGAACTCGCCCACGGCATCACGTGTTCTGTGTTCTAGTGACGACGCAACGTCGTTCAGGCGTCATAAGGACGTTATAATATTATGTCGTAAGCTTTTATTCAATTTACAGCATTCGTATGTTGTTCACGAATTCAAAATTTTTAGCTTTTTTATGAAACTTAGAACATAGTAATAATAAGTGCCACATGGTTTTGCAGTTGTTTACGTAAAGCAACGTGATCACCGCTGCGCCTCGTAGGTCATCAAAATATGAAACAAGCTTAACACCCACGGCCCAGGTCTATCTAATGGAAAGTAACCGTCGGCTCATGTTTATGAGCAGTCCCATGAGCATCATATAAAAACAGCAGCTTCAATTGTAATAAAACATACTGATGCATGACATGAAATTGTGTAGAGATATTAGATTAAATATATTTTAATTAAGACGGCAGAATTGTGTTACTGTACGAAGTTTTTTGCTCTGCATAAAAAAATGGTTATAGTTTCGTAAAAATTTAAATTATTATCGTCATAAAATTAATATGTTATTAACATGGAAGTAAACCTCATCGATTGTTGAAAGAATTATCAATTGATAATAACATAGCTACAAAATATACAAATGAATTTAGAACGTCAATAAATAATTTGATATGTTTTTTTCTATATTATTATTCATATTATTAATATCTTTACTCATATGATGACATTTAATAATTTAATTATATTTTAATGTTTATCAAACACAAAGCATGCTTTGGTTGATTATAAATGTAAGAACAGTAAGATCTGATCTACCAGTGTGTTGTATTAAAATATTTAGCTGTATCTTATGTTGGTAATCCTATATAAAAATAAATATATAAATATATTAAAAAGAGATTTGATTGTTTGCTTGTAATGGATAAAATAAAAAAAACCACCTACCTGATTTTTTAAATTTCTCCTCAGGTAACATAAATTAGATTTTAGCTTTAAATAAAGCTAAGATAGCTTTTAGCATTAAGTCCGTTATGTACTAATGAATAAATAAATAAATTTAACATTAAATTAATTTCGAAAATCTATTAACGCGTGTGAAGCCGGGTTTGATTACTACTACTAGTTATATAAATACCCAGACTAATTCAAACATATATATCATGAATAACACATCATCATATCATTACATGAATAACACATCGTCATTGTCATCATTAATGACGATGAGTAACATGACAAATGATTGTATTAAGCAGGGGTCGAATTGGCAACTGTAGAAGGTGCTGCTGCTGTATCACCAAGGTCGTCAAAATAAATAATTAATTCTCAAAATAATTTAAAAATGACATTGACTTGTTATTATATAATACATTATAATACTGGCAGTTACAAGAATTACATCTTACTCGAAGTAATTTCATGACTCAGTAATGGTAATAGTTTATATTTTGTACTTTAATAAATATTCAATTTATGTAGCTCATGTGCAGGTCTTTAATAAAAAATTTAATAACGTACGCTTAACATAATTTGTTTTTTATTTATTTATTAGACGTATAAAAACTTTTAAGACAGTATATATACAGTATAACATGAACTAAATATACAAGTTTTTCTGTATATTGCATATTCGCCGATACTAAATCTTATACGATAATATCAATATGGAGGTAATCCTGAATAGTTATATTGAGTGGTCTGAATAGTTATGTTAAATAGAATTAACTATTTTTATTATTAAACTTAATGTTACCTTAATAATAAAAATATCTCATTTCTCGAGAATGGAAAATACAGAGACAAAAATATATTTGAATTCAAGAAAAGTTTACGAGTTTTTAAAATTGTATACGTATGTATACAATTTTAAAAATTCGTGTCACAATATTTTTTTTTCGGTCTGTACAGAAAAAGTGAAATTGTCACGACTGCAAATTTATATTTTTTAGAATTTATGTAAATTTTTTAAAAGTATGTGCTAGGCAATAAGACTTACAGATGAAGTCGAAACATTTGTCAGAAATGACAATAGTATATAAATAGTATATAAGCTTCACGGTAGAAACACGAATGGGACAGAGGTGCCCAAGCAATCGACTTTTGTACAAAGTCTCCCTCTGGTATATAAATAGTATATAAGTACTATTTAAAATAATAAGCACGAAAAAAAAAAACAAAATTGGTGTATTTTTCGAAATGTATATTCAATAAATATATAATTTAGATGTATTCATTCGATGGATCACTTAACATTATCAACGTAGATGGTTACAAGCGTATTCAACGTACGTAATACGTATACGGTGAAGCATAACTGTATGCGGAGTACGCAATGGGGTACTCGTTGTACACTGAGTACGCCACCGGTGCTGTGTATGCCGCCGCTACGGGTGCAGTGTATGCTGCCACTTCAGGGTACACCAGGAGAGGTTTCGCCGAAGCAAAAGCCAAGATAGCAGCGAATAACAACTGGAAGATAAAAAAATATATAGCACTTTTTTAGAATAGAAATTAGAATACACTTGTAATTACTTTCACGGATTTTATAGATTTACAGATTTTTAAATATAATATTTTTATATATATATTTAAATAAATCATGTATAGATTCTGATTATTTTACTCGTTTGAATGATAGTTAATATATTCCATCATAGGCCAGTTACTTTGTTTTTCTATATTTAACAAAAAATATTTAAAAAAAGAGGAGGTTCCCACTTTGACTATTTTTTAGTGATTTTTATGATTCAATCAATAAATTTTGTAATCTCGTATTGGTTCTATATTATTTTTTACGATTTTGATGCAGTCTTTTTGTATTGAAAACAAATCTATTAACTATTTAGACATTACAACTCAAATTTAAAAGTAATTTAATTTATCAGGGACTAATATTAATCATAAGTAACTATAAATATTAATGTATTTTATTTACGATGGTAAAATATAACAGTCTGTGATTTTACTTGTAAAATAACTACAAATTTAATATTACAAATAATTCCATAAAATTTAAACTCATTGTTTAGTTATATTTCAATGAATAGAATTTATAGTCGAAAGATCAATAAATCTGCATTTAAAATTAAGAACTAAATAATCTACATTTAATTAAAAAAAAGTAAGGTTTTAATTAAAATTGTAATAGAAATATATAGAATATATGAAAAATAAAAATTAAGTACTTACATATTTGAACATGGTTGCTAAATTAATGAGTTTGTGACACGTAGATAGTTAAGTAAAGACAACCTATTACAGTGACGTTTCTAACTGAACATCACATTTTATATGATGTGTTATACCTTGCTTATTGTCGTGTATGGAGCCAAACCCGGATAACATGACGAATTATCCTCTTAACAGATCATTTTTATTATAATCACGTGCGGCCTTGCCGGGACTGGTACACATTATAAGATCAAGGGCCCAAAACGGATTCAAAACATCAAAATACATAATTTTGAAAATGGAATTTCCTATTTTTTTAACGTTGGAAAATCCGTCTTGGACCCATTTGTCTCGGGGAAGATGGGTCGATAATGCTGAACTCATATAAGTTTACGATCCTTCGCCTCTTCTCCTGTGGTGTTAGGCCATAGGTTCACTTTATTTTATCGTAATGGTAGCGGAGATGGCCCGCTTAGACAAGCCATATTTCGAGTGCTTAAGTTTTTTAAGAAATTTTCTACATTGCGGTCAGAGACAAAATAAAAAAGTCACTTTTATTAATTCACTATAAGAAAGGTTAGTTACCTTTTCTCCCGATTATTAGAAATTCAATTGAAATTAAATATTAAGTAGAACTATAGATATATAAGATATCACTTTCTCTTCTGTTTATCATTTCTCCTGTACAAATCTTGGTTATATTTAGAAAAGAGGATGAGAAGACTAATGCAGAAATCCTTTGTAAACGCTATAACTCTGATTATGCTCTAACTGAGATTTATTTCAATGAAATACACGTGCACGTGCATTGAAATAAATCTCAATAATTTAAACTATTTTTTCTAATACAACTTCACTGTACTATAATGACCGATGCACTCTTGCCAGTTTATTACAACAATTCTATTTTGAAACTGACAATTTTTGGATTATAGATAGCTTTATTTGTAGATTATATAACTTGGCTTGTAACCGAAACTAATCAAATATTACATTCCTTATAGAAAAATTAAACTATAGTGTCCATATGTTTGAAACAAGAATGGGTAGCAATTTGATTTACATAATTCAGCCGCTAAAGTGGTAACTGACGTTTAATAATATTGTGAAGAACAAAGAAAATATCTACTTTGCTGCAGACAGATCTGACATGCGTCGCTAATTCTGAGAATTCAGAAATTCTATCTTTTTTTATTCTATCATAGACTTAGTTAATTGAATTAAAATTACGAATGCCTTATGGCAGAAGTAAGCAAATAGATAATAGGTATATATAACAGGGGAGATAGATATACAAATTTTATCTTACCACATTGTTCTCATAAAAGTGATAATAAAAAAAATGAAAATTGTTTAAATTGTTAATTATTTAATTGTATAAAATTATATATTTTGACATATTTGCTTAATTTCGGTGTCATCCTATTGAAATTCTAGCCCGGTGTTGTGGTATGAGTTTTTTAACTATGACGATCGGACGACGAACTCTCTGTCGATGGTATCCGCTACTAGATGATATTGTAAACAAGGTTACAATAAGTAGTACAAGCCACTGAAATATAAAATTAATAAAGTTTGCATTATTATCTTTTGACTAGCATGAACTTCTTATCTTATTAATTCTATTGTTTATTCTTAAGGAGTGATCGGAAATTAAATAAAACTTTAATTTCTTTTCTACTTCTAATCTTAGATAAACTTGATGTATATAGTAAAATTGCTTTTTCTGAGAGTTTTCATAATTGTTTATTAATGTTGATTTTTTTTATTTTACTTCATAACCAGTACAATAATAAAGTTGAATGTTAATGTCTTCTGTGCTTCCGATTTTTCTGTGATATAAGAAGAAACTAATAAGTTGACCTGATATTTTTATTAGAATATCAATGACGTTTGGCAAGAAAACCTTCGTTGAATCTCTCCCCAAATTTCAAACTCATATATGTATTGGACGTAGCCTTTTTTGTATTAGGTTCTCTATACAAATTAATGTTACAATGTTTACTTATTGATATTACTGAATATAGTACAAACGTATTTGAATTAAATTTTTATTAAACAGACTGGTGTTTTGTATTGTGTTTTTACCGAGTTTGATTTTGGTATCGTAAAATAATTTTTACAACAAGACGATAAATTGTTGATATAAATTAGTTGATATTATATGCAAACAAAAAACAAATTTAAATATGTAAAAAAAAAACAATAGTGTTTTAACACATGCACATGACTATTAGTCTATCATTTTAGTATGGTAATATCTATTCTTTCATGACTTAATATGTTTAATTAAGTGCCGGTTTAATATACTCGTATATTTATTATTTAATTTATTTGTAAAGTTTTTAACACATTTAAAACAATTGAAGTACAGATACTTAATAATATTATGTTTTTAAATTGAGAATTTTTAATGAGGTTTATAATAATCTGCTAATTTTTACTACAATTTGTGACTTAATTGTTTACTTGTGTATTATATAAATTCTAAACAATAAATTTAAAATGTGGTGAGTACTCACTGTTTTCAGAAGCATCTTGTTTAATAACCGATAGTATTGGAACTACTTCTCCATATCTTTTATACCAGCCCAATTCGTACGAAGTTGATTAAAAATTAACCCGTTACTCAAATTGATTGTAATTATTAATCGATTAAATCATGATACGTACATAAAACACAGGTGTTAATTACTTTGAATGCGCATAAAAATAGTTAACATGTTTCTATTTCTGTGTATGTTACTTAAAAAATAAAAAAAATTACATAACTTTTTTCCTTGCTATGCTTTATTACGTTAATAATTTATTTTATGAAATATATAAAAAAATTTTGGGTGCTAAGGAAAATAAGTGCCCTAAATAATATATTTCTTTAAGCTTATTCTTTCTTTTGTACGTCTTAAAAATATATTTAATAAAAATTATGTTACTTATGTACATATATCTATATTTGTCGATGGATAATTTCCAGTTTTCAAATGAAATAAATACTTCTAAAGTAAATTAAGAGTATAAAAAGCTTTATCTATAAATCTTATTTCTTATACTTACCCTTATTTTAATTTCAAATCATGGAATATATCAAATATTGTCATCATCAGCCATATCCAACAGGAGGACAATCAGTAGCTATTGCAGTCCAAAATAATATGTCGGTACAAGGACTTTATAGTTATAAACATAGACAGAGGGTCTGATAACTTATAGATCATTAATTAATTTGTTAGCTTTTACTTGCGACTTCGTCCCCATGACCAGAATATGTTTAATGACCGGAATATAAAAATAGCCTATTTCTTTTTTTGTTTTATATGTATTTAGTATGTTTATGCCAAATTTTATAATAATCGATTAAGCCATTAAGACGCCAAGAGGTAACAAATAAACTCCCTTTCAAATAATAAATACAGAGCCTGACAAGCAAAAAATTTTATGAGAAACTTTACAATTGGTTTACTGAAAAATGTTTTATTCACATTAAGACTATTTTAATATAATTTCTTTAGGACAAGTTCTAAATTAAATATTTGCCCGCTATACGGTTGAATACAGAGATTCTGTTTTTAACATTAAATACATCTAATGTTATATATAACCTATATTCAAGTAAATAAAATTATTCATTTATTTTGTTTTTTAATATTAGTAAAAATTACATGTCATTCATAGTATTTATAATTTTATTATACAATTATTAAAATTGTTGTATTAATAAAATTTTATAAATTATATAAATAATGACAATTTACTTAGAGATATCGAAAATATTTTTTTTTGCTAAATATGTATAAACATTTAATAAATTAATAAACTTTAACTCCGGGTTAGCTTAAGGAATAAAACTAATTTAAACGATTACTATTGTTATTGCTTTACATGCTTGACAACAATAAAACCACTCTGATCAACGATATCACTTGATATTCCAAGCATAAACTGCAAGGCTGTTTCTTCACAGTGATTCCTCAACAAACGTTTAGTATAAAATGGACCGAAATGCGACTCAACATCACATTCAAACCATCGCTGAATTCGTTTGTTTGTGCTAACTTACTTAACTACTTAAACAAAATGTTCAAGCTGGTAAGATTTTTGAATATTAATAACTAATTAATATTAATTAAAAATATAAATGCTCTTTGAAGTGGAAGTGAAATCACTTTAATTTATAATTTTTAATATGTTCCAGAATGTCATAGAAAATATATTTTATAACTGGAATATGTTATAACATGCCACAAATTTACAAGTTTATTTTATCAACTGAGTAAACTAGTGTGAACATTTAGTATTGTGAATTAATGAATTTGTTCCCAGCCAATACTGAAAATCTTGTATTTATTATCAAACTAAACTATCACATTTATAATTTAAATAATGATTACCGACATAACTACTGATAACAAACATTTTCGTTTACACTAACGAGTTCAAGAGATGGTATAAGAATCTCGACATGTTGGTTTTGAATATATTCTAAAAAAAATTGAGTATACAATATAATATCTACAATACAATATAATTTTATTATTTCAGTTCATCTTCGCCTGCTTCATGGCCCTCGCTGCCGCCAAACCCGGAGTACTCGCCCCGGTGGCATACACCGCCCCCGTAGCGGCGGCGTACACAGCACCTGTGGCGGCCGCGTACACCGCTCCCGTCGCATACACCGCTCCTGTTGCAGCCTACTCCGCGTACACCTATGCCTCCCCATACGCCGCTTACTACCTGCGTCGTTAAGTTGTAAAGAAAATATCAAAAAAATAATGACTGCCAACCAAGTCTGAATAATAAATTATTAATCATTTGAATTACTTTATTATTATTTCTCACTTACGTTATTATTACCTGCTTATAATTAGATTTATTATTATTTAGATCTTTTTAGGATACTTATAATTTTAAACAAGCTGATGGCCCATGTGATAAAAAGTCGTAACCATCACTTATAGACATCATGAAAATCAAATAATACATTATGATGTCTAAAGTCCTCCTAAATAATAATATATTAAAATATCGTTTATATTTTACCTATTACTGGAAAAAAGTGTAAGATATTTATAACAAAAATTTATATAATTATGCATATTAATTTAAAGATTCAAGATAAAATTTTCTGAAGACTTCCATAGCTAAATTTTTGCATGACTGCATGCTTATCATTCGAAGCAAAATTTCTAAAGACCGACTGATTACTTAATAGAATTTTGCATAATTGGTATATCAACGACTACATAAAAATTAATTATAGATTTTAGAAAAAAGTTACAAAACATCTACTCTATCCATAATTAAAAAAAACAGCACAACACCTATTATATCTCTAGTTAATATCTATTATTTTTCTGTAAACTTGAAATATCTGTCGAGCAAAATTTATTTAAAAATAAATGATATTAACATTTATGTTTTTAGGTTGTCTTGTTCTGTTTCAAAAATATGTTTTAAAATTAAATAAAAGCTATATGGAAACTAATACGGTTTATCTACTTGAAAGTTGGTTAAAATAATCTAAAAAGCATTTTATCTATCTGTAAACTTCCTTTAAATGCGTTAATATGATGTAATGATTAAAATGTCTACTATCAAACAAGAATAAATAATATTAAGATCTGTAAAATGTGGTTATCAATTCAGGCGCCTTACTATTATGTATTATACACAAAAAGAAAATATAGTCGTTAGCTGTACGTAAATCAGAAACAACAACTAAACGCACCTAACAACTGAACGCACCACATTAACATGGGTGGCTCAAATTTTCTATTTTCATTTATCGATCTATGTTCCTTTGAGAAAGTCATTCAGATTCATTGGTAGAATGATTTCGATTCCATCTTGTATATTATAAATACTGATTTGAGTTATAAATTAACATTTCTACCTCAGATTGATAAGTTCCATCCATTGTATTGCAAAATCTTTATTGTACATAATTCATACTGAATACATTAAAAGATTTAATATATAATGGGGGACTTATCCCGTAAAGGGATCTTTTACAGTCAACCTTTGAGAAGCTGAAAGAAAACTGTAGAATGTACAAAGGTAATAACCGTACAGCTCAACAGTACAACAACCGTACAACTCCATAATTCTTTTACATAATACAAAAGTAATAACTCTTTCTTAAATTGTTTATCTATTATATTTTCATAAAATATAAGAAATATTTTTACGAATATAATTTGTAACGGGATAATTAGAAATATTGACCAATTGTTGCTGTAGTGATGTACAACGTCATACTCGCATTTCATTCAGTATATAACAATAAAATAAAATAAAAATATCAGAACAAAAATATATGCCAAAAACTGATACTGTTATTTTTTATTCAGTTAATTAGGTATAACTATTTTTATACAATTTGGAATGCAATCAAGGTGATGGCCCCATTATATGGACCCATTTAATAGAAAATAATAACCATTACCTTTCACATGTAAAAATGTTTTAATGAGTAGAAGAAACTATGCCTTGGGTAGGTGTATCTCTCCAACGACATTCACTAAATTTTTTTTTTATATTTTCATGCAGGTAGAATATATAATCTTATAAAGAAAAAAATAAACATATACAATACCACTAAATGTATATTTTATTAAAAAAAAAATCTAAAGTTATTCCAATATTTGAGTTTTCTTAGTTATCAAGAAACAGAAAATATTATGGAAATAATCAGTAATTTACCATAAGTAATATACACTTGTTTACAACAATATATATAACACTCACACATCAATAAATTATTTGATTCTCAAGTGTGTTGACCTTTTGGTTATCACATATTTTCTACCTTTTTATATATATTTTGTACTATTATATTCTTCAAATTAACAATAAACAACAATAGGAAAATATAAAAAACTGGCTTAAACAATAATTACACAAATTACTCTAATAGATTTAAATATAAATTTTATAGTAATTCTTACTATGAAAGTCCAACCTGACTGACTGGTATAACAGTGCAGGTGAAACTACTAGAGAGATTGCGCTGAAATTTGACATATAATTGGTTTTTAAAAATTCAAACGCCAATACATAATGATTTAACTAGAGGATAAAATTATGCGTTAGGTGCATTCTGTAAGTTTAGAGCTAATTGAGATGCAAATATAATTAAGATTATGTATTATAGGTTATTTTAATAGAACTTAATGTAAATGTAACTAGGTTTTGTTAAAATTATCATAGAAAGACTTTCTAAATGAAATTAGTAACCAACCAAAACATACAATCTATTAACCATTTCTTATTTTTCTTATTTGTTGAACACCAGCAAATTAATCAATCAATGATTCCTTTACGTTTATTACATTACTGCATTTTTACTACTTCATTTTACTTACGTAATTTACTGTTTTGTTTTGGTTAAGTACTTAAGTAAGTAGTTTATTTATATATATTCTTTATTGCACTTGTAAATTACAATGTTAATGCATTTATAAATATTGTGAGCAAGGATGGACTTATCTCTGACAGAGATCTCTTCCAGTCAACCCAATGCAGTTAGAAAACAAGTTGCTAGCGGGCAGCTGAAGTGCTACAACTATTAATATTTAGTGTACATAAACAAATATACAGTTAAATAAAATATTAAGATACATAATAAAATATTACATAAATACATATACTATAAATAAATATAATATCTACCTACTTATACAGTGGATGTTAAAATAAATGAATATACTACCTAGAATAGAAATTGAGTTCAATGATTTTAAGGTTTGACAGTTCAATTATAAAAATAAATAAATTAAGATTATGACTCAAACGAAAGAAAATGTAACTTCAACCTTTTCTTGAAAGAGGTAATTGAAGGGCTCTCTTGTATGTGGGAAGGGAGTTTGTTCCATAATTGGGCAGCTCGATACGAGAAAGAGTTGCCCATAAAATGTGTTCTACACAAAGGTAGGTCGAGAATCCTGGACTGAACTTGACAGGAGCGTTTAGGACGGATTGGTGGTGGTAATAATTTAAATCGAGAGCGGAGATACGAAGGAGAATTGGGGTTATTAAGTATGTTATAAAGGAAAGAAAGGATGTGCATATCACGTCGAAGTCGGATAGGAAGCCACTTTAACTGGTTGCGAAAGGCAGAAACGTGATCATATTTACGAAGACATCAGATGAACCTAATGGCCAGATTTTGTAATCGTTCCAGCTTGTTTAGAAGCTCCTCAGTCACATCCAAAAAACAGACGTCGGCATAGTCAAGTATTGGGAGTAATAGAGATTGTGCGAGCGTGATTTTAGTATTTACTGGGAGAAAGTATTGAAGTTTTATTAGTAGTATTATTTAGTAGTAGTATTTATTAGTAGATTATATTATTACATACACAAGACTTTCATAATACGAGTAAAATATTAGTAATTATGTATTATTAAAAGAAGCGACTGTAACTTAATGGTATAAATATAACATTAAACGGAATGAAGTCTGTACCAAAAGTACATTAAATTGAATTAATACTTTATCTTTGGTAATTTGATAACTATGTATGTACTTATTTTGTTTCTTATAATATTTTTTATTATATATCTAAAAATATTTTTTATTGAAAGAAAATTATTGCTAAGAGTTTGTTTTTATATATCATTGAAAATGACAAACCAGCTCAACATGCTAATAACAGCACAACAGAATATACCGCACATCTCTGATAGTATTAACTGTAAGATATTATGTGGATTAAAATTTGTCTGTGGTGTAATGCTTCTTATGATTGTAATTACACTGCCTCTCTTTATTCATTTCTATTTATAACTTGTAATACTAATATTATGATTATAAAAGTGAGTTATAAATTATAATAGGTATATATACATTAAGGAGCCAACAGGTGAGAAACATATATTCACATTTATAATACATATATTGTGTAACATGTATCTTCAAATATTATGAATTTATAAATGTTTATTAATTATTAGATTAGTTATTATTTTATCTGGTAAATGCTATGACTTGCATAGACAAGTCTCTTTAATTAATAATAACAGGTTATTGGCTAAATAATTCTTATTATAATTTATATTTACTCATGTATTTGTAAGCTTTCTATTTTCCCAACAAATAAATACTTGTTAATTAGATCTCACTTTAACCGAGTGTACTGCTGTGACCTTCCTGATTGACCGAGACACTTATCATTCCAGGCATACGCATCAAGGCTGTTTCTTCATCGTGAGTCTTCGATACAAACGGTAAGTATAAATTCGATCGGAACTTGATACAAAACATCACACTCACTACAACCATTGTAGACATTGTTTCTTTTGAAACTTAACAAAAACAACAAACAAACAAAATGTTCAAACTGGTAAGTAATTATTGTTAATGAAATATTATTATTGTTTCTTAAGTATTAAAAAAAAGAGTTTCAATGGTCGTTATACTTCCTCAATTTTTTTTTTAAATATGTAAATGTAGAATAAAAATTTCCAAAAGTTAAGCATGTTGAAGTATTTGGCCACTAGATAGTATAGAATCCGATATACTGTTGTTATATAGAGTCGTATGTGATTATTTACAATAACAAACTTTCTACTTTTACCTAATGGTTAACTTCGGTTCGCTATTTGTATATTTTTTTTGTGCAATAATGAATAAATAAATAGCTGTAATAAATAATTATCTATTTATATAAAGTAATAGTTTAAACATTAATTAATTGTTCATAATGTACAGTATCTGTTTATTACTGAAAACGAAATGTCTAATATAAACAAATGAAAATGAATCTAGTATATATTACATAAGATTTTCTAATTTTGTTACTACTAAATGATGTTGAATAATATGTAGTTTGAGATAGCAGTTAATTATTTTTTCATAAAACGTTTTTATAGTAGAGTACACCCTTAAAAGAATCATAAAAATAAATTTAGAACTGTCAAAGATCCTGACTTTAAACATAATTTTTACAATTGGTTAAAAACTAAATTTATACTTATTAAATATTGCTTAAATTTCAGTTCATCTTCGCCTGCTTCCTGGCCCTCGCTGCCGCCAAACCCGGAGTACTCGCCCCGGTGGCATACACAGCCCCGTAGCGGCGGCGTATACTGCACCTGTGGCAGCCGCGTACACCGCTCCCGTCGCATACACCGCCCCTGTTGCAGCCTACTCCGCGTACAGCTATGCTTCTCCCTACGCCGCCTACTACCTGCGTCGTTAAATACCAAAGAAAATAAAAAAAAAATTACTGCCAGCCAAGTCTGAATAATAAATGATTAAGCATTTAAATTAATTTTTTATCATTATTTGTTACCTACGTCATTTAAATATTTATTATCCGCTTAAAATTCTAACTTATTTTATAATTCTGTGATAGGTGTTTGAAATTATTGAAAATTGAAAGTGAAAATAATTCTAAAGTTGAGAAAAACCTCTTGAGGAAAACTGCAAAACTTTTCCTTCAAATGTTCAAACATAAACTTACGTTTATAATATTATTTTTAAAAATTATGTCCACATACATGCATAATGGGAATTTTAGGGACTTACTGTGTTTGTAGTTTCTGACATTTTTGCCTCTATTTTTTTTTTAACGGATTTTACCTTCTTCAACTGTTTGACTTGATCTGGAAGTTTTTTTCAGGAGACATCATTCGTCAGTGCTTTGTGTCACAGCATTAATATTTATAATATTAGTTATATATTTGACTACGGCTTTGTCCTCGTATATCAGTATAGAAAGTATTCTATGTGTTAAGTTCGATTATAACCTATCCGTGTGCCAAAGTTTATTCAAATCAATTAAGCCATTTAAGCATGATTGAGTAACAAATATCCAAAGTTTCAACATTATAATATTAGTACGATTAATGGGATAGTAATTTAACATTGATCCAAGACAACAATCTAATTTAATACTTTACTTGGCAAATAAAACAATAATTTTAATAGTGACATATTATTATGGGATCTTACTATACGGACGAATAGACTATCATATGTTTGTTATTTACGAAAATAGTAAAGCATCTTGAGTATCTCCTCCTTTGAGAAGTTGCTTAATAATAAGTAACAAAACAAGTTCAGCATTGCCGAAGTCGTGTGACACTACGTGTCGAAATAATAATAATAGTCCTTCAGACTATCTTTAAAATATTAAAGTTGTAAGGATGTATGAATACATAAAATAAATAAATAAAATCTACTGGACATTTTACACAGAGCCATCATTTCTCAAAATAAGCAGAACTTATCCTATGAATATTAGACATTTGATATTCATTATTTTTTTAAATACATACATATTGTACATAGAAAACCGCATGAGAATTCTTTCATGCTAAACTACTGAACGGTTTTAGATATATTTTTTTAATAATAACTGTCTTTATTGAATAATAAATTTACATTTACATTTAGTTAGATCTACTAGCTACCGATCTTTTATTTATATCCTAATTTAATATGTAGGTATAATAATTTACGTGGTCAAACTCTTTATTTATTTATTTATTAGAAAATTAATAAATAATAATAATTTTAATTAATATTTTATTTTTAATAACATAAATGATGAAGTAGTTACTTTTGCAGATGTCACTCATTGAATTGATTTTATTTTCTTTTAAGTAAACTTAATTTTAAGTATTATTTAATAGTTATAATGAAAATGGCTGCTTCTGTCATAATATAACGGTGGTTATTCAATTTTAGGTCTAATGGGGTAGATTTCTTTTGATACTAATTTATATATGAACTGGTATTTAGAAACGTTTATCTATATATACTGGCCATAAATACTGTTACATAAAAACTTTTCTTTCTATCAACTTTTTCATTATTTTGAATTGGGAACACGTTTATTACTTTAAAAACTTCTTTTGATTTGCAATGATCGCCTTGCACAAAGTAGGTATGGAGCCGTCGCTCATATTTCAGACATTTCAAAAGCTAGGAAACAATGACTCTGTGTAAAATGTCCAGTAGAATTTATTTATTTATTTTATGTATTCATACATCCTTACAACTTTAATATTTTAAAGATAGTCTGAAGGACTATTATTATTATTTCGACACGTAGTGTCACACGACTTCGGCAATGCAGAACTTGTTGCTGCAGCGCTGTTTTTAGTGAGGCCACCATTCGATAGACAGCGCTCGAGAAACAGGGTTAAATCTATAATATACTATTGGACTGAAAGTTATAGATAATACTAATGTTATATATGAATATAATAATAAATTATTTATTGTATAACTTATATATCGGCACTAGCGTTATTATCTGTAGCTGTGAACGAGGAAACATTAACTTGGTATTATGTTCATACAATATTTTCATAAACGCAAATGATTTTTTATTAAATCATAAGGTTAATTTGCAATAAACATAAATTAAATGATTGTATTTCCTTTTACTACAAACAGAAATTGGGATTCTCATTTGACTATTATTTCTATTTAAATGAATTAAATAAGTGATTGTATTTCCTTTTGCTACAAACAGAAATTAAGATTCTTATGCAACTGTTAGTTTTATTTAAATGAATTAAAAAAGTGATTGTATTTGCTACAAACGAAAATTCGGATTCTCATTTGACTATTATTTATATATAACTGAATTAAATAAGTGATTGTATGTCCTTTTGCTACAAACAGAAAGTAAGATTCTCATTCGACTGTTAGTTTTATTTAAATGATTACAAAAAGTGATTGTATTTCCTTTTGCTACAAAAAGAAATATTCTGTATTTGAATGTATTAAACTAATAAATTAATCAATATCAATGTTTTACAATACACTAAACAATTGCAAATAACTGTATTCACTTATGTAAAAGAAAAATACGGTATTCAAATGACTGTTCAGTATTTTTACTAGAACACATTATTAAATTAACTATTGCACAATGTTAAGGTTCAACATGATTATAAGTAAGTTAATATATAATACTTAGTTATTATTAGAAAATTGTAATAAAATAAATAGAATAAATAAAGTTGTGAAACTGTGAGTGAATACACGAGCGCGCATTTGATTTAACGGAAAAAGCATCCGTGCACTCGAACATAGTTATAAGAGTATAAAAACAGAATATTCAGTCCAATAATATCCGAGAGACTATACAGTACTGATGCCTAAGGACTATAAATATAAGTGTAATTGGAAAGTATAGAAATAAAATGGTTCAAAGAAGAAAAGTATAATTTGTTATAGCTACAAATAAATAAAGGATGAACCAAGACAAAAACCAAGTAATTTCAGTAATACTAACATCACTATGCCAAAATTTAGGCAAAAAACACTACCTGCTTCGTTATATACAATACAACAAGATATAGTGAAGATAAATAGAATAGTTATGTATAGTCATTTATAATTTATCTCCTAAATTTACAATTTTTGTACTGGAATTAAATGTGTTTTAAATGATATTTAAACTGATAAAAACTGAAATGAATTGACAACCGAAAGAGGTAAATTGTTTCAGCATTTCTTAGCGAATGTTTAAAGCTTTCACGAAATACTACAGTTTTGTATGTAGGGCACATCAAATAGGGATGTGACGCACTAATGTTACATTCTGAAAATGTAAGTTTTCGAATAAATAAAATGTTTTTTTTTTTTTATTTATTATTAATCCAAAAAGCAACACCGCAAGATTAAACAGTCGTCTATTTTTCATTCAATTTCATTCCATATATTCCATCCTATTGATTAATAAATAAGGTAACATATGCTTGCGAAGGTAAAAAAAAAACAGAACCGTGCACATATATTCTGCACTTGCTTTATATTTTTTTTAGTACGTGACAGCAGATATCCTCCATAAACAATGTATGCATAGTTGGGTTTAAATAGGATTAACAAAGGTATACATTTTGTTAGCAATATACTTTCAGATCTCTCTTGTCTACGCGGTCCCCTTTGTAATCATCTCGATTATTCTTATTATTATTATTCTTCGTTTACCACTCTCATACTCACCTATTATTTATTACGGGTGCCCAATTAGCATATATTAACTGCACTGTTAGTATTCCATTATCATTTATTAAAAAATCCATTTTCATTTATTAAAGGAATCTCACTTATATAATTAAGACTGTGTTCAAAAAATAAAAATAAAAAAATCGGCTTCAATTATGTAAAACCAATTCTTTTAATTTAAAAATTAAACTAATGAACCGATTTTGATATTTTTTTATAGTCCAATCTTTAAGTATATACTTTTAGATAAAAAAGGTTTTTCCAAATTGGTTTAAACTGACGGAGTTGTGAAATAAGACACATAAAAAATACAATGGAATTGAGAACTTCTTTTTTTTTAAAGTCGTTTGAAAATACTCTGTTACTTGTAGATTCGGCCGTGTATCAAATAATTATCTTTCAATCCTATAACATTTTGAAAATTTAAATATCTATTTTTCTTAATGCTCGGTTGAATATAGAAAACCCCTGAAAGAATGCAATTTCTCATTTATAGATGTATCTGATAAATTAATAGTAGACCCCGTAGTTTCGACTATGTATTGATCTGGCAGTTAATTTTATTTTATATCTATTAAGTGTTCTAATATGTAAAAAAATATAACCTATCAATTATATAAACACCTTACATCTAAAGTAGTATAAATATCAAAAACAAGTCTTTAAAAAATTACTTAAAGATAAAACATCTTTGAAATCACTGGTAAGGTACCTAAAAGACTTGCTGCATTTCCATGCTGAATACCTATGGAAATGCGTTGACCAAAGTATAGGCCAGCCTTCCGGTCATCAGAGGTTTCCACCAGCTGGCGTGATACCTCTTTGAAAAGACTCATGGCCTCGAGCTCCACGGACCCGGGGGGAAAGGGATTGTTAGTAATGGAGAGTAAAAATCCCATTGCTAGCAATATCCACGAACCCAGAGTTTCAAGTCCAAACGCCGCAAATATATATCCATTTCCAAGGGATGAATATTTATGACGCTTGATAGTCTCCTGGTGTGTTGCGGCGGCACCAGCCCTGTTGGATGTACTTGAAAGTTGAGACGGCGCCATTCTATTAAGTTGCAGAAAAGTTAAATAATCATTTAATTCAATAATGTATGAATTATACCAATCAATAAAATATAAATTTTAATTTTATTAAAACGTAATGTAATATGTATTTGTTCATAAATACTCGTATTTTATAAATTTATTTTCAATAATTTTAATAGTGTTTCTAGATACAATATTATGTACTTTCAGAATATATACTCTATTTAGTTTTTTTTTTATTGACATAAAATATACAAATTTTTAAATTTCTAATTTAGAAAAATTTGGTAGAGATTCGCAGAATAAGTAAATAGTTATAATCAAGACCTGGGGGGCTTATTATGAAATTTAAAACATAGGTTATAAATTAAATGGAGCTGTGAATTGACAATAAATGCATAGAAAAAACCGGTCAATTTATAGACACACATAAACATTAAACAAGTTTAGGTTAAACTTATTAAATTGTATTTATAAAGTTTGTTTGTATTTTGTACTCAAAAAAATTGTAATAAATCTTCGCTCTCACAATGGAAAGCTTAAGCATCATTATTATCTTTCTAAATTAAATGAAGTCCAAGTCAATTAATGGGAACCAACTATGGAAACCAAGGTTTTGTAAATTTATTATTCTATTAATTTAACCTGTATGTAACTTACACTATATTTAATTTAAAATTTATTTTTATTTATAATTTCTCTTACAATCATTTGGAGATTTAGATAAGTATGTATATTTTTTAATAAAATATGCATATAATAGCACAAGAAATCAGAAAGTATATTTTATATAACTTACATTATTTTTGTATAACGTTCTGCTCGCTTGAGTTGATTTTCATATGTACACCATCACATGATAATGATCTCTATAATGTAACACTGTGACCTTTCTCGGTAGGACCACTTATAATTCCTGACATCCACCGCGAAACTGTTTCTTCATTGTGGCTGTTCGATACATACGAACAGTATAAATTGAACTGAAACCTAAATCAATGTATCACATTCACAACAACAGTTGTTCAGCTACTTGTTTTTACAAACATATCAAAACAATAAACAATATGTTCAAACTGGTAAGTTTTTCGAACTTAAAAAAGTCAAAATAAATAATAATATGGTATTAAAATAAATAAAGGGTGATTGACTAATATGTATTACCTGACTTTCAAATTTGTTTATTATTAAAGAAACGGGCAACGAAGATGATATGTTCAATTCTAAACATTTTAAATGTTAGTCTGATAGATGTAGGAGGTGTATTAGTAAAATGTAGTAAAAAAAATTATTTAACATTCTATTAACTTTAACATTCATTTAACTTCAAGTTTACAGGCAGTAATAATCCTGAGTAATATTATAAATGTGAATGTTTTTTTTCCATTTCTTTGCGCTTTATACCTCAATTAATTGCCATGAAATTTGGTATTCACGTAATATTTAGAATAGAGAAGGACCGAATTTTTTATTGATCAATTAATATATCCCAATATGTTGGTGAAATTGCGAGTGAAATCTAGTATTTTTATAATGTTTTGATAGAACCTAACAAATAAGGAATATCTAGTAATTTATAATAAATTTTCTTATCACTAGACGCTAAATATTATTTTAATTTCAGTTTATCTTCGCTTGCTTCCTGGCCCTCGCTGCCGCCAAACCCGGAGTACTAGCCCCAGTGGCATACACCGCCCCCGTAGCGGCGGCGTATACTGCACCCGTGGCGGCCGCGTACACCGCTCCTGTCGCATACACCGCCCCTGTTGCAGCCTACTCGGCGTATGGTTATGCTTCCCCATATGCTGCTTACTACCTGCGTCGCTGAATATAAAAAATACGAAAGGACTATAATTACTTCATTTGAATAAAACGAATATTATTATGTATTTATATTTTTTTTATTGATTTTAATACTAAGAGTGAAAAAGAAATATTAATTTCGACATGGAACGATCACTATTCCAAATCACCAGTTAATAATCCTTTTAGTCTTGACATCTCTCAACTCTATGAAACTATCGTGCTAAATTGCAGGTGTATTCATCACGATGGACTAGCTGATATGCTTTTTCATTCTCAGTTAGTGCTGGCGGGGTAGCCATTTCATTATCATGCATTAAAAAAACCATTTGTAGTTTAGTAGGTATATTGCTTATTAGTTGTAATATAGTCTACTTATATATATAGTAAATTAAATCTACCATTAAATTGTATAAGTAATAATTTTGTAACACTTGTTTTTAAAAATAATTTCTATTTAATGTATCATATTGGTAAAGGCTACTGATATTTTTTTTTTATTTTGCTTCGCAAAAATAATAATCTCGTATTCCGCTTTTAAAGATCATCCAAATAGAATACTCGTATGTATTATATATATTTATAGAAATTTCTGTAAAAATTAAAGCTCTTAAACTTATCCGTTTAGACTCTTCAGTAAACATTTTAAATTTATTTATTTTATTCATATCTGTTAGATATAAATAACAGAAATAACTACGGTTATGACTGTAACTTCTAGCAGCTAGACTCTAATATTATATATTCGTAGTCGTCGTGGTGAGTGTAACATTCTACATGCCAAATTTTGACAAAGATACGAGTACCTATATTACAAATTCAACAAGAAAAAAATATGACACAATTACCTTAAAATTCCCTTCAAATATCGGTTTATCAACATAAAATTTTAATTGTTTTAATTAGCTATTTACCAAGCATGTATATTTATTACATTTGAAAAATTCATATAGAAAACATCAGAAGAATATGTAATTTAGAATAGTTATGTATATTATATTTTTAGAACTAAGGATTAACTAGCATGACATCTATAAAAAGATAAAGTCACCAATATACGTTTAGCTTAAAATGTATACTTCATATATCCGGCTGGATTACAATTCATTAACATAAATAGACCATAAAGATATATCTAAATAGTTTATATTCACTATCACTATGCACAAAAGAAATATTGAAACAGGTAAGATCAAGATCAACTGTAAGGATGTTTGACTGTTTAAAACATTTACGAACAGACTCTCTACAATCCATATTATAAATTAAACGTATGGTTTTTTTTTATAATATAAATGTAATTTGAATATTTGCCACTATACCCTATAATAATATGTATATGACACTATAAAAATAGTTAAAATAAAGAAGTTTAGCTGTTGCAACATTTGACAACTGCTTAATTTTATTAACTGCATAAGCAGCAGAGCTAAGTTTACCAGTCAATTTTAATATATATTCCCACTGTAATTTGGTATTTATAGTAATCCCAAGAAATACAATATCGGTAACAAAGTCTAAAGTCAATCTAATAATGAGTACGCATTAACTTGTCTTATATTTAGAAGTGTAACTTTAATGTTCTTTGTTTTATTTGGACTTAATAATAAACTTGCTGTAAATCATTTTCAGACAACAGAGAGAACACCATTCAACTCATCTGTATCAATGGTTTTACGTAATAATGAAGTATTATCAACATACAGTACTTACCACAAATAAGAAACCAACTTACATTTATATTTATTATATTAATAAGCATTATATGATCTCGCTACTGATTAAACATTTCGTGATTACTTACACAATTCTCCGGTTTTCAAATTTAATGAAGTCACCAGTCATGAAATTTGATATACATAATACACGTAGTATTTGGGATAGAGAAAAATATAAACTACTTTTTATTTATTTTAATCGATATATTACATTCTCGCAGACTAAGCTATGGATAAGAAATATTTATAGTAGATATTTATTGCTTATTAGGAAGAGTCACATAATCACACCCTATTCTTCAAACTAGGATATCCTGAATTATGAGAAATCAGTTAATAAACATCTGAAGCCATCCTCCAAACACTCAGATACGTATAAATAATTTGGTCCGTATGAATATCGATTCTTGGACCTTATACCTGCAACCACTGCATCATGGAGGTCGTCGTCATCATCGCTTATATGGCACTGAAAGTAAACTTTATCTAAATATATTGAACAGAGTCTATAAACTTCTCTAAAGATAGAGGTTAAATAAATCAATATCCTATATATATATATCTATTCACAAGAGGAATATAAAGTCCAATGATTGGGAATGAGTCTCTTATCTTGAAAAAAAAATCGTTACCAAGATTAGCATTTTTCATCTTGAATAAAAAAAACATATTTAATTCTAACATCTATGTTACAAAAAAGTAAAAACAAAAGCACACCTAAAATATTACTTTAAAAAGTGTTTATTCATTAATTAGAAGTTTTAAATATTCTGCAAATATAGAAATGTATATAAAAAATCGAATATAAATATCCCACATCTATTATGTTAACGGACATTTAAAATAATATTTGATCCACATACTTTTATATGCCGATATTATTGATATGCCAAGCGTGAATACGGCGGGACTGCTGCACCAGCTAAAACTCTTTTACCTAATCCTCCACCTAATCTTCTGCCTAAAATTCCACTTAATCCTCCACCAAAACCTCCAACTAACCCTCCACCCAGACCTTTATTAATCCTTCGCCTAAAACTGATTCACCACCTAAACCTCCACTTAAGCCTCCAACAATACCAGCATATTTTATAAACATAATTTAACTAATATAAACATACAGGAAAAGGAATAGATTTGGAGTAGAAAGAGGAAGAATGAGTAGGAGTTGTGAGTTGGAGGTTGTATTTAATATAAAGAATAAGAATTTTTTCTATGATTCTTTTAAATAATTGGATTAAAAGGATAAAAATTCGACGAAGACGGATATTTTATTTTTTATACTTTTATAAATAAATAACCTATTATGATCAGTAAGACTGTATTCTAATTAAAACTAACGTACATGAGGCAAGTTATGAAAAGTGGGTCGTCAGCTGGTTTGATATTCTAAAAGTTGCATAAAAAAGGTTGTATGACAAGCCCTTTGATCTGAACGTATTTGGTGAATATCGTTGATAATATTATATGCATCTCGTCGTTTTTATTTGAAAATGAATATTTTTTATTATAATTTTCCATTACGATAATCTATTTATTTAAACATTAATGCACAATGTAATTCTATGTACATTTATTGGACTAAACAGTGAGCGGTATTCTCTATCAGTAACCAAAAAAGTAAATAAAGTATGTAACCATTGAGCAAACAGAGAAATAACTAGGCGATACATTCATTAATTGAAGAAAATAATAAAGATTACATTTAAATGTGATTAATAAATATTAATCACATTTAAATGTAATCTTATTATAATTATATATTATATTATTGTTTATTAACTTTAATAAAATAATAAAAAAATATATACAAATACAGATATTGTTAATACTAACCAAGAATTGTACTTTCATTTTTTGGTTTTAATTCTTTTTTACACTTCAGTTAGAAATAAATATGTACGATGCCAAAATTGCAATTTGCGTAAGTGACTTATGGCATTGTTACCAATTCGTTTTTAAACTTATTTTTAGTGTATAAGTGTAGAACGAAATAGCAATTGGTCTCAGTTTCTATAATAGTACCTTGTAAATAATAATAGTTGATTAGAAACATGTATGTAATGTTTACCCGCCATGAATCAAATATATTTCGTATTCATTAAAAATCTTATTATAATGGATGTAAAGACCAAATAAGTACGCTAATACTCGTATAATTCGTTATATTTATTTGTTTAATTTATTAAGTTATTAATTTATTTATTTATTAACAAGCTGTTCGCACGATCATAACTTACTTTAGACACAGGTATGAATTAAAATAGATAACGTAATTACATATATTTTGAGAGTTAATTTTTAGATTTAAACTGAGTTCATAAAAGCTTACAGATTTACATTACTGGTTACATTACTATTTAGTTTAGATATTAAATCAGGTATTAGCCTACATTGTATTAATTTTACGATTAAATCAATTGTAATCTAGAATTAATGCAATATCGCGTCAGTATTTAAAAAAGTAAGTGATGCTTTTCAAGTAGGTCAGTGTTTGGAATAGTTAAAATGTTCCCTTTTTATGTAACTCATTGACTAAATTTTTTTTTCATTTTGTTTATTATAGAAACATACATTATAATATATTACTAAATATCAAATTATAATAATAAATTAATACAATTATATTATATAACCAGGCTTTAATATAATATGCATAACTTGATATCATTATGTGAAGCTTGTGTTATTTATATTACATATAGTAATCTAATTAAACTAACCCAGCGAGTTTGATGGACTACCTGTTTGAATCCGGCCCGGTTTTAAAAACGTAACAAGCGCGAGTGGCATTTATGGAGCAAAGGTTTCATATATTAGTAAAATATAGTAAACAAAGGATTAAATTAAAAAAATAAATTATATTTCTGCTATTAGGTATGATAATTTTGAAGAAAAAAGGTTTAGTCTCGAGTCCTCGAATTCCTTCACGTGATAATCGTTTCAACCTAATTTGTAAAAATATTATTCTAACACACATAATTAAGCCCTTTGAAATATAAAAGGCCTCTATGTTTTAAGTGACTTGATATTATGTAATATCTAAGTGTATGTGATTATTTGTTTAATCGATTCTGATAAGGTATATACCAGTTTTTAGTTAGGCTGGTTAGTGTTGTTAGTTTATGTTACCTATTCAATAATACATTATATTTTTAAATCATTGATTTATTTTATCGTAACAAAATAATTAGTAGATTGACAGGTATCAATTGATTTAATATATTGCTTGCTTCCATTCTCTCTAGCTAATTTTATTGCCAAAAACTGAATACGTAACAACATAAAAGTAATGTACAGCTTTCCTAACCTTATGTAGATAATATAAAATTTACAATTCGATACTTAGGTAAGGGACTTATATTTAT